TTTTTTCTATTTTTTTTTCAACCAACTAGTTGACTTATTCTCCCACTTAAACGAATAATGAATGATATAAATGGTTTGATTGGTTAATTCATAATCAGAGACATGTTGCTTCATATTTATGTACTTCTGAGTCAATTTTCTCCTCAGTCTAGTTTGATGTTAGTGACAACGAATTTGAAACAAGTAAATAAACAAGAAAGAAAATTTGAAGGGGATAAGTTTAAGATTTAAGAGTAACCTTGTTACCCAGCTGAGAGACGAATAATGCTCTACGACTCAAATTATTGACTATGAGGGATTTTTAAAGTGTTTTGAATTAGTATCAATTATTTGTTTCCACCATCATCTCAGCAGATTCAATAATTTATGCAAAAACACGTTGTACAGGTGTCAGTTTTAAACGAATATTATAGTGTAAATCAGTGAGCGCCCTATGCACGCAGCGAAGAATTTGGTCTATGTTCACAGCTTGTGTTGAACAAATATATTTTGCCAGCGGCTCTCCTCAAAATTAATACCCCAGTAAGATTACCTGATTGATACCAGATATGTGTCAACTTTTAGGTAGCCATCGCGACAAAGATGATTCCATGAAGAATGCTTTAAAATATAGAATTACTATTTTTTTTCTCTGCAAATTTGTTATTTTAAAAGTTTTGGTCTGCTATACTGATCACATTGCAGTTTTTAAGGGGTTGCATGGTAACAAGACCAAAAATAACCTCATTCTCTAGATGGCTATTGGTTCAATTCATCAAGCACATCAAAATTAAATAAAATTCGATCAAACCATGAACCATCGTTGAATTTATACTTTGTGCCCCATCCTGTGTATAATAACTAGTGTCTGTCGGTCCTGTTCAAAACGCTTATCAACGAGTAACTGTTTTAAACACTAAAAAATATCTTTTCATTTCCGAAATCACTTGACTTCAAACTATTCTATGAATCCGTGATAACACAACGAAACACTATGGCTCGCTTCGTATTTAATTCTAACAATTATATCCGATCAAAGTTTAATTACGATCTATTGCAATTTTATAGCTATTTTGTCATTGCACCGCCTTAAAAGTCAAGGCTTTTGGTAAACAAATGTGTAAAATATAAGACATAACAAACTTCATCCACGAACGCCGATTCTAGTTTACAGAAAATGTGACCGCGAAATAACTGTAGGACGACAGATTAGTTAGCTCTAAAATCAGTTTGGAAAAGTGCAAAAGATGATCTCACTTCAATTTTACGAAACTTGTCGATTGCAGCTGCAATTGATGGGTGGAATACAGAACTTCGATGGAAAACAAAACGCAACTTACAATGGCAAGCTGTCAAAAGCAATTACATGGATGAGAAATTTTCCCTCCAGAATAGAAAACACATACCTTCTCTCGACTTTTCACAATAATGGTAATAGAAATTCACCAAGTCTTAGAGAAGAAACAATAAGCAAAGATGTGAAATTAAAACTTCGCCATTGGTGTTAATTTGAAATGAAGTAATGCATAACGCAAATTATCTCTTATTGTGTTTCACCTGATTGGCTGGTGCTGAAACGCTTTCATGACAACAGCCGAAAGCACTTCACAGTCAGTGGAAACCCTCAAGCGATTAAAACCTTGGCAGTCATAACAGTGTCTAAATGTTTGTGTTAGTATTCACTCACAGATTGGGAATTTCTCATCCTCAACGGTATTTAGAAATACACCATTGTGACAACATATTTTAGTTTATGTAAGAATAGCAGAGAAAGACTTCAATAAAATAAATATGTTGGATTTGTTTTCACTTCATTTACCACAAAAAGGACGCAAGTTTCAGTTGTTTCAGGACGTCATCTTGTCGCATGATTGAATTTATGGCTTCCTCCGGCTTAAAGTCGCTGAATTAGTTTGGCATATTCATATTTTCCAATTACTTGATATAGAGCAGGTGTAAATTCAGTGCCACAGACCGTCCTGGCCCCATTATGCTGTTTGGTTCGGAAGATATAAAACCGTTTCATAATTTCTTATTGCTGCAAGACTGCAATTACGGCGAATTTGCGTGGTTTGGAAACAATTCAATAGGGATGAATAGAAAGGAAGCTCCCAGAGTGTTATTATTAGTTTTTTCCCTCAAAGTAAATTTGCAAGCGAACGGAAAAAGGTATCCACTAACCTTACTCCAGGGCTTTTACATTTTTTCCAGCACTCAAGGTTTTAGAAAATGGACGGAATGGCGGAAATACTTAGAGAATGTTTTGATGAAGCCAATTAACTAAGCCAATGACGTTTAAAATCAGGTTCTAAAATGGTACTTTGCAAAGAAACGTGCACCTTTTGGACACTGTCAGACCTCGAAACTAAACCCAGCTATTTTCTGCAATGTCAACTTGACTTAGATTGAAAAATTTTACCCCTAGTTACCCAAGGACTTCTCCTGCCGTTAAGACTGAATACTCTTCCCGAAAAGGTCGTGTTTAAAATACTGTGGCCAGCAGTATGATCTTTTTTGATGAATCTTAACGATTATATCCATGTCAATGTACTTCCTCGATGGGAAAGGTGAACTATTTCCATATTATGATAAACTGAATCTTACACATTTTGATTGGTTTTTACGCATGGTTCATTGGAGGACAGACGCGCAGATGAGATCACCATTAACAACATTTTGCTGTTTTAACACATATGAAGTAATAGTTTCCATGTTGCCGTGGATCTGTCAGAAATAGATCACCAAAAGGTAAGAAAATCAGTGACACACTCGGCTGCGTCTTCCGCATCACTTTTTGTTCTTACGACATTTTGACGTCATCTGTAATCGATTTCTGAACAAGGGATCCTCGGTAACATAGGATCTATTTGTTGATTCGTACTTGATGCATTAAAATTGGATCAAAAGAGGTTTAAGGATGTATGAAATAATATTAATAGACAACGCCCGAATTAAGTGTTATGAAACACGACTGTTGAGTTATTTATGAGCACTGGCTTATGCCTCCTTACATGTTGCCAAAAGAGCGACTTGTTCAGAGGGATGAAAGTTAAATCTCTGTCACACGAAATTTAGGAAAAGTTTCGTTATGTTGTAGTGAAAACATTTACATACAAGTGGTCAATTTAAAGTGATATGCATCGAGATATTGAGCCTGACGCTACCTTGGTTACCACTTGAACCGATCTAGCTGGTGCTAAGAGTGACTTAACGGATCTTTGGACGTTTTCGATGATTCATTCAGAATCTTTGAACCTTTTTGAAAATTCATCTTAGTCTTTTTTTTTTTTATGTTTGAATTTTTCTTACCTCTTGGGTGTTTATCCTCTTTCAAAGAGTATGATTTAACAGTTTCACTCCGGTGTAAGACATTTTTCGCAGACGTGACACAGCTCCGTGAAAGAATTCGTGCAACAACCTCTTTTTGTCCCATTGTGGTTTTGTCATACATACCACTGATCTACATCGTCTGACAAGACGTCAAATGACTGCTACTTATCATTGGAAATTAGACAATTCACCTCATGGTAACTGAGCAGAGTGAAAGACAGCATGTGTACAGTATGATACTTAATCATAACAGGCTAACAGAAAACGATTTTCTATGGTTTTAAGCGATATATCTGTAAGCAGTTGGTGATGGTGGTTTTTAAGCGATATATCTGTAAGCAGTTGGTGATGGTGGGTGAGTGTTTGGTTTCCTGCATTTGCATGAGAAAGAACATGGTGTAGGAGGCCACTTCACTATTTGCGGAAGACCTCAAATCATCGAGGAACTTGCAAGACAAAGAGGTACACACTACAGATATCAGATTCCGGATGTCGGCATGCTGGTGATGTTGATAGGCGGGGAAAGAACTTAACACAGATTGATTAATTTTTGAAATGAGGTTATTAAATTTCCATACATGACATACAGGACGTGACATTGTCTGTTTTTGGAAACGTCTTCTGTTCATGAAACTCGTGGGTGCCATAAACACGGGAATAACTTTCTTTGGTACTCAACAAAACCAGTTGTCTTCCCGTTTTAGTGGTCGCTAATTTGTCGCTAAATCCTGTTACTTTCCGTTCTCTCATAGCTTCATTGAGGTCACCGTAAATTTTTTCAGGTCATATGTATTAATTTGTTTCTTGGATTTTTTTTTTGGCATTACTTACAATACAGAGTAAGAAACTTCTCCTTTGCACTGATGATCACTTTTCAGATTCAGAGCTTAGCGGTTTCGTAATTTACGTGAGCGCAGCATACGCATGAGAAGAGGTTTATTTACTGCGGATGAAGAGGCCGGTGAAAGAGGAGGTTTTGTAAACCAATATTTCGACAGTGAATTCACAGTCGGAGTTAAGGGAGACGAGCTTTTTAACAAACAAAAAAAATGTTTTAAGCGGATGTGGGATGTTATTAGACTTGTTGATTTAGTCATAATCACGTTATCGAAATTGGTTAATTGGACTCTGGCCCTTTCACAAAGGGACTTTATTTTTACTGTGGCACTCTTCTTACCGCACAAAACGGTGCAGGCCAAAGGAAAGTTAATTGGAAAGGTATTTCCCCTTTAGAAGCAGATAAAAGTACAATCTTCCACCCAACGATTGATTACTAACTCTTTAAAAGCGATTGGTAATGAAACACGAGTATTAATCTGCAGTAAGACAGTTGTCTACATTCAAGTCTGATAACTGATAGCGCGAGAAAATTGTTGTCGTTAATGAGAACGTTATCTCTGTTTGCACTCAACAGTTTATTTTACGTTTCCATCGGCAAGGAGACAGATTTTTTGATACAATTTGACTCTAACATGTGCGCATAAGGTGTTTCAACCATTCCTCTTTGACAAGGCCTATTTGTGAGCACTAGAGTTTTTCACTGCTCTTGTGTTTGCGAAATCACCGCGAAACAGAAGCTTAGACGGTATTTAAGTCACTGCTGACCTGGCTCTTACATTAATTAAACTCGGCAAAGTGAAGAGGCGAAAATGATGCGACAATGTCGAGGAGCCTTTTAAAATTTTACTTACGATAATGTGACCGTTTATCTTTAAAAGTTAAAATCCCGTTCGCTCGTGTCACCAAGGGTAGATTATGAATTTTCGGATCTCCTTGTCGTCTCCTATCCAAAAACTGAGAAATAATGGTCGAATTAGGGAAGATGTTATTATGAGATATCAGTGCATTTTTTGAGATTTATTGCTTGCACTAGCATTTGTTCAAGCAATTATCCGATTAACTCTGATAGCGGTACAACGTCTGAAATCTATATCCCGGGGGGTCTCCACCACAGAAAGCAAGGGGTGATCTTCGTAGATTCTCTAGTTTGTTATTGCGGGTAGTAATTTGTATTTCTCTCTTTATATTAACAAAATACAGGAGAATTATTTTACTTGTTCAAACCTACATCTTCTATCTTCTACACCTTTTACATTGGTTAGTGCCACACCCATATTGATATCTTTTAGAATTTCTTTCAAAACTGTCGACATTCATCTCTCTTCTTACCCCCCCCCCCTCCTGGATAAAAGCTGCTTTAAACTTTCCAGATTTGTGCCCAAGGAGATTCTCTCTCTGTCGACTTATAAGCAGAAGTGGTATTTCCGGCGAAGATGATTGCATGTTCCAACTCTGTAGTTATGTTGATCACGCAAACGGACCAAACAGACACTTACGTCAAGTCATCTTTGCGCAAAAGCGTTTTTTGTTCACTTTCGTAAAAATCCTACGTTTGATTTTTGTCTGAAACTGAGGTGAAACATACGCGCCCAAAAATCAAATATTTATTCAAGTCTGCTTATTAATACAAACCACACACGCCGAAGACGAAGATTAGTGACAAAGAGTAAGGCTGATCATTTTTTTTTCTTGTTAGCTACGACCCTTTTCTTTATGTATATTCACGTTGTGGAGAGGCCGAGACTAAATTTGCGCGCGGACTCGATACAATTTCTTAATACTAATCAAAGGTTGCTTATTCACACACGACCAATCAGCGTCAAAAACAAGGAACATATTTGCCACTTAAACGGCATTGCTCTGTCCTTCTAAACGTACTATAAATGACGAACAGGGAAAATAAATCAAAAGATGTGTTTCTCTCCAAGCTAGCTTTTCAAAACGGGCGTTAATTTTGCTGTCGAAGTCTAAACCTCGGTACACCATTTCATGAGCTTTGTTTTAGTCTAATACGCACTTACTTCACCTCTAAATGGCCAAAGCAAACTCCTTCTCGTAGTATCTTTTATCCGTGAGTATTTCCAAGCGTTCCTATATCGTTGGCTCTGTACTTTCCTGCCTGCGTGTACACGTCTGCGTAATCTGCGTCAACTATTGTCGCTTTTCTTTTAACTGCTCAATGGACGCCAGCTATCGATGATGTAATCACAACGGTCAGACGTTATCAGTTCGCGGTTCGCAGCACAGATGACATTTTTCATATTATGCAGAAAATCTTCTTCATATTCTTCAGCTTCATTTTCTGGCGTAGTGTAATGATAGGCGACAGAATATAACGGAAAAAATCGCATGTGCCTCTCCTTTTTTCCCCTATGGGTCAAGCAGGAAGGAACAGAAATGGCATGCGCTTCTCCCATGCACGTGTTTTATTCGCTCTTTGTAAATCCTGCCTTATTGTATTGTTGTAACGTGCAAAGCCTTACGGTATAGTCCTGTAGATAAACAACTGTGAACTTTGTCTTTATAATTATTATGGATGAATGTCGCGGCCCACGCTCATGTTGTGATAACTGCTGTGTTCTATCTTTGGAAACTTGTTGTTGTTTCTATTATTTTTTTCTATTTACTTTTTTTTTTATACTTTTTTGTATTCTTTTTCGTTTTTCTCTTGAGGAATTAAACATGTCACTTAGATTATACATAGAATTATACTCTGGAATTCGTAAATGTTTTGGAAAATTACTCCGAGACGTTAACCACAACGGAAATTACTTAAAATTGGCAAAGAAGCGGTGGACGCGTATGTATAGAAATCGGAAGGAAAAACGAAAAATTTGTGAATAACAGGAAAGCTTGCAAAGCCTTATTTACCAGTGGGATATACCCGCCGATATACTGATACAGCCAAAATGCGTTTATTTGGCAAATTGTAGACCAGATAATGAAAATTCCATAGGAGACCTTTAAGAAGGATTAGGGCAGGGCCATGTCGAAGTCCTTGCATAATTAAAGTGTTCCTGTTTAGATAACCTTAAGTCTTTCTACCCTATCGTGGTACGTGGAAGATGGCGCCTTTCCTGCTGGATTTTAATCTAATCACAGAATACAGATTAAGACTCAACTAGCATAGGTGTTAACTTTAGGAGGCGTATTTTGGCCCAGTAGCATCAAGCTGCGATGATTTTATCCTCCCCAATCAAAAAAAGGTTCTCGAATTGCGTGGAATGCTTGAATTTTTTCTTTTCTTGGTCATCATTAGTTTGGTGGGCTACACTGTTTTGACCTCATTTTTCCTATGTGATACATCTCTCGTAAGCGGAACAGGTTCTTATGTGCAGACCACCAGGAACGGATTCTTAAAGTACTATGAAAAAAGATGATTTTCCGTCCACTCACAGACGACGCATTCTGTTCAAAACACATCCTCGAGCCTCAATTAATTAACGTGTACCCGTTTAACCTTTTCCTATGAGATGCCAATCTAATTTAGTAAGAAATTTTTTAGAGAGTAATAGTTACATAAAACATCACTCATTTAATAACTTGAAGACAAAGAAACTTTCAACCCAAACTTCATTTAATTAGCCACACCAGTTATGAGAAGTTCTATTGCCAAGGCTCTGTTGCGTCAGAGTCGGAAATGAAAAAAGAAAAAAAAGAGAGAAAATACGTATTGATTGGTTGGACATTCTCCCTCGTGAACAAATTGGTTATTGGTATGAGAGTCTTCAAATGTCGCTCAATCGACAAATGCTAAACAAATGTTCAAAATATGTACTGGCTATCGAGGGTCGCAGTCGAGTTTGTAGAGGGAGATGGAATTAATTCGATGTGGAAGATAAATCCAATTTCTTTCATTGTTCTTGTTGTGATAGGCGACTAAAAATGCAAGCCGAGAATCTAAGTTCTAGATAAAATGTCTTTAACCTCTTGTTATCATGGTGTTAAATCGCAGCTTTTGAATTGAAAATACGTCTCTGCAGCTAAACCAAGATTAAGCCAATTCTTTTAATTGCTGGTGATGTAGATGTGTAATAAGTATCTCAGCGATATGATTTGTTCTGTATCCTAACTAGGTAATTAGAATTACCGTGCCTGTACTGAGGCATTGTGAGAAAAGGGAACCAATTAATAGAAATGGTTCGGAAGCCGGTTAAAATACACAGATTCAGTTCAATAAGTATCCACTTCCTCTCATGTGTTATGACATGTTAAAGGCGAAAATAGTGATTGTTGTGAGTTATAAATACTTTTCGATAATGCTAGGAGATTTGCCATGTGTAGCGTAATGTGGTGTCACCTCCCTCGTGCAGAAAGTGGTGCAAATTCCTTGTCACATCTGGGACTTTTGTGATCGTGAGATCATATAAACTTACTTAATATGAGGTTGTCATGCGTGGAAGTCTAACTTTATTTGCGCTTTATATTTCTTTATCAACTTTTTGCAATTATGATTAGAAAATGAACAGAAAGACTTTGATTAGATTGTATTCAACAAATTGTACCTATGTGACAATGTAATTTTAATTGAAAAAGGGCGCACGAGCACATTACAAAGAGTCTCGCCGTAAGAGCTGTTTTGAAACGAGTAAGCCACGATTTATCAAATACCTTGACTAAGTTCTCTAATCTAAGTTTTCTTGTTTTACAAGATAATACTTTCATAATCTACCTTTCAAGGATTTTTCTTTCTACATTACATGAAAACTTCACTTGTCCACCTTGATGAGATGAAATCACTCGAAAACGATTGAACCTGACCCTTCAGATACCAAAACAAATGCCACTTAAGACACCGACTGCGCTGGAAAGCTGCCGCATATGAAAGCTATCGCAGAGACAATTTTACAATATGTATTGGAGTTTTCATTTGGTGTGACAGCAAGAGAATGTGATCTGATTCTCTTGGCGATAATCATGATGAACACAAGTATCGTATAGATTTAGTCGTATGTGGATCTTTCATTGTACGGATTTTGGTACTACCTGAGGAACTTACGGAAAACATTTGGTTACCTCATGGTAACTTATGGATAATTGCAACTAAAAGGTTATCGTAGATGTGCTTTATTTCGCTTTTGTTCATTTTATGAGCCACAGGGGCATAACAGAGAAGAAATGAGATATTAGTTTGTTTAACTCAATGCCATATGTTTAAATTGCCAAAATATTACTGGAAGTAAATGAATTTCCAAATGGTGCCAACATATTGTACATCATTTCAGTTTGTGGTTCTTCGAACTTACTAAGAACAAAGTTACACTTTAAAGTTTAACAAAGGCTGCGATACAGTTCGGTCTCTGCCTGCATAAATCCATAAATCTCTCGAAAACGTATCGTTGCATTTAATATACTGGCGCAAATACTTTCATAAGATGTATAAAACACGTCTCGATTTGTAAACCTTGGAAAATTCACCGGAAATTTTGGAATTATATTATTTTTAATCTCTGTCAATCATTCCCATCTTGAGACGCTCTTGTTTCCCTTCTTGTTTATTCGTACCTCTAAGGTGTTCTTTACCTTGGCAAACTACCATGGAAGTTATCTTTTCAGCCAACGATAATTTTTAATTACACAAAAAAATAACTCGAAATAAGGTGCACCAATTCCTCTAAGACTCTTCGATTTGTTTAGATCCAAATAAAAACGTGAAGATAAGGTGGTCTTTTCAAGAGGCGGAAATATTTCATCTTAACTGACTTGGAACGAAGGTCAAAGAGGTTTTGCTGCAGCACCTTTTCCTTTTGAACACCAGGAAAACTCATTTAGGGAAGGCATTTATAGGAATTTTTATGGGAGAAAGAATTCGCATTGAATGATAAACAATTTTAAGTAATTATACTTGTTGTCTAAATTCATCGTATAACATTTCTTAACCTTCGTCGTTTCTTAATCCTTAGAACAAAGACACAGATGTTACGACTCAGAGATTAAATTCAAACTGGGCGCGACAGGTAGTCTAATAAGAGGATAAGGGAACAATTTTGACTTGAGAAGTGATGAATGCAATGCAATAGTCGTTATATTTATTCGGTCGTGGACTATTTAACTTGAAGTTTACCTTCGCCTGAATTGATACAGAAGCTTTTTTTTAAAGGAACCCAAATTAGGCTGATTCACGCACCGCCTCAACTTATAGCGCTGTTTGTGGCATTTGGATGCAGATAAATGATAAACGTTGGATGCAGCTGATACAAGTTAGATTGGGAATGTTGACTTAACCTTTACAAAGTGAAAGTGTGGTAGCCTCACTGAAAACTTTTGTCAAGCGGACCCCGCGATAAAGCGCGATATGACAGCTTAGCCTGTTACTTAAGCACTCACTCAAAAGAAGTGAAATTCGTGTTTTTGATTTTGGTATCGGCACAACTTCATCATGAGAATGTGAAGACTTGTTTCAGGATAGAAATGGGTCATCTTTAAGTTCAATGGATTTTCCCCCTCATCTAAGCTTCACATCGAAGCCAAAAAAATACAATTTAGCGAGTAATAATGAAATCGACTACGTGGAAAAACTTGATTAAAGGTCAAATGTTCCTGAATTCTTCAACCTTCAAGTTAAATCTGTCGGTAATTTGAAGAAAAATTATATGTAGGACGAAAAGACACTTCTGTTTACAAAGCAAAGAAAATCAAATGCAACAGGAAATAGTAAAACTGTAAAATACGTTTTGAATAGGAAATGTATTCTTTCCTAAGTTAGTTCTATAAAGAAGTGCAAATACGTTTTGGACGTTTTCTTATCAAGCGATGATTTATCGTCACCGAGAGGGGATGGATAGAGAAATAGCTACTGTCGCTTTCAATAATCACATTTTCCCGTGATGATTGTTTGATTGAAAATGTCGACGTCTTTCGCGCCTGAATGATACGAAGTTGTTGGAAGATGGTCTAGTTTTCAAGTTTTGGGTCTGACAAGGAGGACTGTCAAAAAAGGAACGAGAAGGGAAGAATCCTTTCCTTGACGTAATTTTTGGAGTACACAACACGAGATTTTTTCTCATCGGTCCAATTAATCCACTCCTTTTACGTTGAATCTTTGCATTTACGGAGACTCGGATCGAATGTCCACATTGAATAAGAAGAGTTGTATTGTGTTGTATCAAAGGAAACTTTTAAGCGCCGTTGTTAAAAAGTAAAGCTGCAAAGACACTACTTTGTACAGTTTTGTTTGTGGAGAATCAAACTGCTTACCTGCCCAACGGAGCCTTTTCGGGGATGTTTTGAAATCAGGTGGTCCCAGGTGTCGTTTCGTCGACTAGTTGTCAGTTATATATTTATAGAAGAGCCTTTGAAATAGATTCTAGACCTCCTACCAGAACTCCCCTTGTGGCTCTCAATATTCTTGTCACGCCTCTTCAAAGAATTGGTTTTTATACCGGATCAGTTTGTGTCCCTCACGCAGTCGGAGCCCCTTCCATGATCCACCTATTGCATGATTTGCAAGAAGTATGTCAGTCTCTAAACTATGTCAAACATAATGAAAAACATGTTATCGGGTGGTGTCACCCTGCTGTTGGCAGTTTTAGATTACGGTGCTGAGTGTACAGCTTCAGCACTACCCTACAGGACATTTGCAATTAGAAACAATCTCACCGCGGGATCTTATTTTCTCTCACGAGATCGTGCTACAGATAAAATAGCCCAGAAACTTTTGAGTTTTACCACATTTTGCTATCGCCACACCATCGACAGCTCCAATCACACAACAGCTTTACCGTCAACAAAACGATGGCATACTTTTGGTTTCGCCGTGCTGACAGAATGAAAAACCACTTCGCCGTGATTGTATTTTTGTTCGGAACTCTAGTTAAGTTGGGCCATGTTTGTAAAGGTAAGAGGAAACATGCAATTACTCAACATGCGGCTCGGTGCAACAACGCGCTGTAATTGTATCTCGTCTTAATCGTACTTTGAAAATTGCCAAACTTTTGTGGCTTTCTTCTTCACCTACAGCGCGAGGAACGTTCTAATTGTTCTTTGCGAGATAAAGAATTTTTTTATTTGCACCAACTGTGTGAGTAGTATATGTTTTAGAGACGAAGGTCAGATATGGTTATTGTTGTAGGACGGCGTCTGTTATCCATATGCGGCGAATGAGAGGCATCCTTCGGCTTCGTCAAGCACCAAAGAGAGTTTCGCTGTATGAAACTGATTGAAAAAATTCTCCTTTTAAAACTGTCTGGATTCCTTAAAAGTCAACACATCGGAGACATGTTGAAAAGTTTTTTTCAATAGCAGAAACATTTTGAGAGTAACCTCCATGATCCTGTAGAGAGCATTTAGCAGCTCAACAATTGCTAACGAATTACGTTTCTTTGTAAGTTGGACACGTCAATTTTTCTGCATATGTGCCCATCATACCCTCTATGATATTTTATTTTAATTCCTTTTTCGTGTCACTCAAGTAACAGTGGTGTTAAAAACTCTTTCCCAGCTCAGGAAGCTCCCGAGGATGCAGAACTCAGGCTTCTCCATCACCTCATGGAAAACTACTTACAAGAGAAACAAATTCTACCCACGCAAAACAGATCTGAACCAGTAATTGTTACGTTCGACATGGCATTTAGTCAGCTCGTCGACTTGGTGAGTAATTCCAAAGTCATCGTGCTTGGTAAAACCGTTTTCTCCCATGATAATTGTTCTTTTTCCAACTAGGGTAACGTTTAATCTTACATTGTTATTTTTGGGCTGGAAAACGTATTGATTTTAGATGGCTCTACTGCCCTCTATATTACTACCGTTACAGTTAATGAGAAATTGATGATTTTGACCGTACTTGTTGGCTAAAGGGAACAGAAGTTACCCTATTAAAGCCGGTACGTCAATATTGATTTAAGCAAATTCGTACGCAAAACAAACTTTCGTGGTGAAAAACATTATATCTTCTATCATCCAGGAGTGAATCTGCTTATTGTCACAGGATGTTTGCGCCTATGTGAGACATTTCGAGATTTTCGACTTGTTCATGCAATCTCTATGTTTCCCGAAAGCCTCGATCCAGCTCAAAGAAATCAGGTGTTGTTCACATTGCCCTTTGAAGAAAAAAAAAAGACGGCAACTTACTAGTTAAGATTTTCTCTTGCTGTTGTTGAAATTAGCAGGTTAGATGACGTACCTACTTTCTGTGCATGGAGTTTTAAATGAAGAGATGCCCGCAGATACGGCTAATTTCCTACATTTAACAGATAAAGAAGCTTGAAATATAAAACACGGTGGAAATTTAAGACCACCAGGGAAACTTAGAAGACATAAGCCGCAATGATCGTGTGCTTTATACTTTTCTCCACCGTTCTCGGATAACCTAGATATCACGGGTTAATACATACCTTTGGCCTCTTATCTTTTCGATATATATTTAATTATTTCAACCATAATGACAAGATACACCTTTCAGTGTTTCCGCTCCGAAAAGAAATGCACAGATTGGATTCATGACCCGAGCCATAATGGATTGTGTCATAACAGTTTCTAAATCTAAAGATTATGAACAATTAGTTGAAACTCATTAGTTCTTGTTATCTATTCTGATGTAAATTGATAACTTATCAAAAAGCCTTTTGCCATCTGTCATCCATGTTCCTAAAAAGTTATTTACTCGCATTTATCGTTCTTTGAATATGGATGGATAAACTCAAAAGCTTGCACGAAAAAATCATAAAACCTTGTGAAACAGTTAGGGGTAAAGTGAAGATGTTTTTAAGGGACGTAGTTGATGAAATGAAATGGTTATAAAACCTGACATTTCCCTATACTCTGTGTTTTTGTAAGCTTTTTCCCTGATCGTGACCACTGACCAACAAAAGTATCTCATTGATTCATTTCGAATACAAAAGCTTGTGATTTTTTCGGGTAAAAACATTGACTACAACAGCTTTGTTTATAATTTTTGTCATGGCCTACCTTCATGACCAGTCTCCTTTAGTACCTGAATAACAAGTTATTCAGTTAAGTACTTACATAGATCCCTCTTGTAGATAATGACACATTTAAGTAGAAACTAAGTCTCTTGAATAAGAACGCGCCGCTTTACTCGAAGGGAACTCTCTTAATCTTTTGGAGAATCGATGTACGTTACAATGTAACTATATTTTCTAAGGAACTCGAGGTTCTTCACATAAATACAGTGTCCTCTCACGTAGATAATACTTAACATTTCCAACGATTAGGTGCTAGATAAATGGGGTATACCAACCAAACTCTCTAATGTGGTCACTTAATGAAAGCTATACAGAAAAATTCATATCAGTCTTCAATGGCTAATCTCCCAAAACGTCATCCAGCCAGTTGTGCGGTTTCAGAAGTGAAGATGTAAGTTTATATTTTACAATCTGCAACCCTAGGAGTTGGGTTTTGTGCCATATTATGTAATCCCAGTCATACAAAGGCCAAGGACATGAACAATTTCAGTTTGTAACATTTCGAGATTCACATGAACTGCTTTGTCTTGGAATATTAATTACAAACTATTTTGATCTGATGCCTTCTTGTACGGAGTATTATTTTTCGTTTCCTTCTTGAAAGCGGGTCCATCACTCGACAGAACCTTTGTAATCTATCTTTAAGACTCATCTCTAACGGCAGCCTTTGGAATTTCTCTTGATTCCTGTCTTTGCAATTCAACAACATTCGCGTTTTAGGCATTATTTACGGGGTACGTCAACCTAAAATTCTGAGCTCTGCAGATGTTGTTTTAAGATCCCTGGCCCCTGGCCTCCATATACTCATTATATAGAAGTTAACTTATTAACTCAGTGGAATTAAGTGTAACAAGCTGTGCAAACTGTTCCTCGATGTTGTCGTCTTTTAGAATTGTTTTTCTAGTGAAGACGAAGGTGATAGTGTTTCTTTCTATGTAAAAAGGATCTATCCGTACTGTTGTTGTGTGTTGCCTCCTGCTGTTTGTCTAAATATTCCCAAAAGATCATACTGAAAGAGATATAATTTCCTGTTGTGAAATAGATTAATTCGCAGCATATCGCCTTAGCCATCCCAGAAAAGACGAACGCCTCGGTTAATTGTTTATTCTCAAGCAAAGCACAAAGCTAAAGGTACAAATGTTTATTCTGTGTTTTACCCTGTACTTCCATCCATGAAACAAATTCAAGAGAGGAGATCATAATTCAGGCTTACATAATTAACGTAGTTTAACGTGATGGATTCTTAACGCGGATTACAAATCGGTAGAACTATTTTGAAGCTGCAGCCATAGAGTCACTGAGAGCTGGCACACAAAATTCTTACTGATTTCTTCGCTTAACCTACGGCCATAGAGCCTTAAGAGACTAGCTGTGACAACTTTCTAGACCTTTTGATCTTCAGGCAGCAGGTTCAAACTCGCCGGTCAAAGGGCCGCAATCAAGGTTCATGATCAGGAGAATTTACCATCTGTGACTCAAGATTAAACGAGATTGGAAGTGTTGTGATGACAGAGATGTCTTTTCTTCTGGACTCGTGAACAATGGATTTTCATCAACAGTTTTCAGACACTTGTTTATCTTTGATTACGTAATATGCATTTGAGTCAAAAGAAAACAAAGGTTTTTTTTTATTTTCCTTGAACGGAGAAGCAATACGTCAAGGAAATGACTTGAACATTTATTCACCTCATTATAGGGTTTCGAAATATTTAACCTATAACTTGTCACTAGCCAGTCTGTGAAGTAGATACGTCCTTTCATGCGAACTTCATATTTTCAGCTGTTTCAAAGCTGCATCAACAAAAGTGGTGTGGCTACTGATGAAAAAATGCCACTTGAGGCAGGTTCTTAAAAAGAATTACTCGTCTTGTCATGAAATAGCCAGGTACTCGTGAAACATGCCCATATTTTAAACAGCGAGATTCTAGGTGTTACGAGAAAACCCGAAAAATTGCACTGCCGGAAAAAGTTGAGCGTGGAAATGCAGCCTATGTAAAAAACGATCCTTGTAACAACGGGGAATGATGATTTGAAGGAGTGTATCTGTCAGAGGTCGTCCCCACAAGCCATTGCAAGAAAGGCCCCATCTTGGTTTAACTTGTCGCCGAAATTTTTTACCAATTTGCTCATGACATGTTACAAGTAACAAGGACGTCTGATAGACCACATACTGTGACATTTTCGTTCTTAATAAGCTAACTGAAGTGGCTAATAAATCTGTAGAACACGGCAGAGTAATTTGATTTCCCAAGATAGTAATGATGGCTCAATGAGAGTCGATTGTTAAGTACTGTGATGGTAATTCTATTTTTTGCATCCATTAAAACCCTGAAAGCGCTGGATGCATATCTGTACACTGATTAATCCTGGTTTACAAGGAGATGGTAAACTTGAAGGTTTAAATCAAAAGTATAACGAAGACAAAAGTTTCATTTCATCCTTTTAGTTGGTTGGTACAGCTATTTCATACAGATTCTCTTTCCTTTTCTTTTCTTTTCTTTTTTTTTTCACCTCCGTTTGTGTATTCGAATAATAGAAAAGAGCACTCCAAAAGCTGCGTAGCCGAGAGCAACATTTGCCCTCGCTTCGAGCTCTTCAAGCTTCCTACTCTGAGCGATATTCGCCTAAGTATGAATCAATTGTCGTCTATCAAATAATATAAGAACAGAAGGAATCTGAGTTCGTGTTACTTTGTCTCTTTTCCAGCGGAAAAAAAAACTAGCTACCTTTGCAAGCATTCTTTTTACTGTTTAGAGGCAGTTTTAAAACGTGGAATTGGCTCTCTGTATTTGTGATCTTCCCTGCACACATGGTAAACATCAAAAAACTGTTTTACAACTTTCGGATTCTCGCGCGGCTTAAAATGCTTACAATGCATGGAATTCCCAAAGAGAAGAATGGACAAAACCTTGAGGTGTTTTTAAAGTGGCGATATTTTCGAAATATTCGGAGAATTTATACGTCTCTCTTGCGATTTCCAATATATTCGTTTTACTTTTCCCTCTGTTGCACTTTTAATTAGAAGAACACACAAACATTAATAATGGACCATGACATCGATAATAAGTGAATAATTCAAGGTTAAATGATGAATTGAAAAAGTTGGAAAGGCGCGCCTTTTTAAATCATTCCAGGTTGCAAAACTTGACGGTATCACGAAGAGGAATGGCTGGATTGTCTGTGCAGAATGCGAGAGTTGTTTTGATGTTGCAGGGTGACTATTTCAATGTTTCAGAGCTGAAACTTTTCGTGGTGAGGAACACCTCAGCGCGCAAATTTAAGTTTCGGGTGCAATTTAAAAACTTCTGACTACTCCATGTTTACGCAAACAAATTTAAGTAGTTAATCTGTATGATAAACAATATAAGTTCTCGAGTTGTTTAGTATAAACTATTTAGCGTGTGTTAGCTTATCTCACGAGAAAGGAGTATATTCAAAACAGAACTGCCCGTTATTACAGTAGGTCTGTTCCTTTACACTGTAAAACGAAAAAAACTCTTAACCCAGTGGATCTGTCTCAACTGGTGCAGGATGTTGTCAAATCGAGTGTAGCTATTTGGTGTCTAAATGAACATTTGGAAAGACGAGTTACTCTTAGCAGCGTGTGTAATTAAGACTGACCATATTGAGAATCGCTTGCTATGTTCACCTTTGTTTGCATTTCACCTTTGCTATTTATCACCAAAGTACATGTGAGAAAATTACATTGCGGCTTTCAAAATTATCTTAATCTTCTTAACGGATGCATAGCTGCGAAGCAGTGAGACAACGAAATCCAAGATTAATTACCACACTGATGTGTCTAAGTTCAAATCTAGTTCTGTCATATAAATATCCTTTTCAAAGTGTCATTGCGGCTTTCAAAATTATCTTAATCTTCTTAACGGATGCATAGCTGCGAAGCAGTGAGACAACGAAATCCAAGATTAATTACCACACTGATGTGTCTAAGTTCAAATCTAGTTCTGTCATATAAATATCCTTTTCAAAGTGTAAAAGTGTTTCAGGGCAACCCACATGAGTTCAACATAGCTTTGGGAAAGTCATTTAAAGATTCTTGTTGACCAAGTAGGCGGTCCGGTCGGGGATATCTTTGGCTTTCTGACTAACAATGCGTATCATAAACGATTGTTTTTTCTTACACCTTGGCCTCAGTGGAATTAACCCCTCAGCTCCCAAAATCCGTAACTGTTGAATCTTTGTCAACATAACCTGGGTTTTTGCAAAACATATTTCAAACCGGTTGAAACCTGATCACGTGATTAAAGTTGAAAGCAAACATCTGATGCGATAAACGGCATGAATTTTCTTCAACAAAAGTTAGTTCTCAAGCAGAGGAAAGAAGTTGTTTTTTTGGTGAATGGGAAACAATTCATTATTCCTCTCTGAAAGTATCGGATGCCAGTAAAAAGAAGACAGACATGAGAACCAATGGGAATGTCCAGACCCTGGTCACAATGAAGATCCTACCCGAGGGGAGGGTGGGGAGCTGGCCGTATTCTAATTAGGTCACGGCCATCGATGATTTTCTTTAATTTTCCAGCCAAAAAACTTGTGCAACACCCAAGTGAGAATAACACTGGAGAATGAAGCTTCATGTGAGCCCTATTTCGAAGGGGATGTCTCTCTTACTAGTTTTAGTTCTTTCACATTCTTAGAAATCCAAGATTTTGGAAATCACCGTTGGCGTGTCGCAAATTTTGTTGTCGTTGACATCTCCTGTGATCTCTAACGAGCTTAAAATTTATCCTCTGTCTTACTTTATTACCTCAGTAGCGATAGAAAAATACTCATAAAACAATACTTCCGAAATGCAAGAGAGAATAACGCTAGAGAATGAAGCTTTCATATGAGCCTTTTTGTGAGGGAATATCTCTCGATCTATTTTTAGATCATTCATGTTCTCAAAGATCTAAAAAGGTTTTGAGAAATTAAAATGGCGTGCCGCGAATCTTGCTGACTTGGACTACTTGTGGAGTCTCTATTCGTTCCCCTGAATTTCATGGGCGAGCTCGATAATTATCATCTTTCCTATTCCTTTCAGTCACAAGATACGTTCGACATTGCTGATCCAAGCTATACGCAGGGAACGTGTACATCTGAACTTAGTAATGGCCTTGCTCACCACAGAGTTCCCTGCAACTCAGTGGTAGAGGTTCAGAGAGCGGAATCCGATTCCGAGGAGGGACTCGAGACTTTTAACTAAGTCCCGTGCTCGTGGCAAGACGAGTTACACTATCTGTCAAACATTCGTCTGTTGTCGTTTCAACTCATAATTTTTTCCTTCCCACACAGGATAGCAAAGACCAAATCATGACCAGCAACATTTGGGTCAGACAGGTATTTTTGACGATACAGCTACTCATATTTTCATTGTTTCCTATTTTGTAACATATCGCACAATTGAGTAGAGAAGTACCTGAATAAAGAATAAAAAAAACAAACAGACAAAACAGAACCAAAAAAAGGTTCCTCAAAGATGAGCCAGTGCGTTTTATTTGCGCTGATCGTTGTTCGCCTTCTTAACGTAGCCTGTAAAATGTATCACTGGAGCTCAGTGTTAAGACAACATGAAAAAGGGATTACAACATCGTGAAATTACTCTTGAGTATAGCCGGTATTACTTTGCCTGAGCGGAGAAAAACTTACTTCGCAACTCGATCATCTGGCAACTAAAAATTATGAATTCTATTCTCCCGATGACAAAAAAGGGAATAAAGCGGTTTAAACTGACACAAATTGAAGTTTGCTTTCATCATTCTTTAGTTTTGGAACAACAAGAGGCTTACGTGGGATCCAGCAGAGTTTGGCGGAATAAAAGACATTAACGTCAATCCAAAGATAGTTTGGAAGCCCGATATTCTTCTTTACAACAAGTAAGAACGATCATGCACGGTCTTTTCATTCAAAGTCTAACTTACTTTCGGATCAGTCACTTGATCAAGTCGCTAGGGATTAGCATTTCATCTTTGTTTGGAGAGTTTTGCTATCTGTGAAATTTAAACTTTTTCCTTGTTCCAAGCAGTAAAAACATTGTAATAATGGTGATGATTTTAAATTTTTCAATTGCCCCAATCATGGGGAAAAACAAGGAACGGGCTGAATTACTTGACCCAGGGACCAACGGAACCAGTCTAGCGTCTTAACCACTTTTGCACAATGTCCCAGAGACCTTCCGCTTACCTTGAGCTTCTTTAACTATAGTGCCTAACGTTTTATAAATATCACATAAGGAAGTTCGACCTTCCAATCCAATCTGCCGGATTCTTTGCTGGTTCAACCCTCACCCTTTAACCCTAAAAGTGACTAGCATCTAATATCTCCTTACAATATCACCCTAAATGACACATTAAGGTAAGGAGAATAAAGGAAATGGTCACCAACTAGAGAAGCTCTGGATTATAAAACCAATTCTCCTCATCAGCACCATAGTGAATGCATAGGGAACAGCATGGCGAATATGCATACTGATGCAAGGGCGGAAAGGGTTAAGACATTTTCTCGGTCGGTCGCTCGATCACCTTATCGGTCGTTGTGTAAGTCTGTATGTAGAAAGTTTCCCTTTAGTGCACCACTCAGAGGGTATGTCTAATAGTCACGGCGTCACCCCTTTTCGGGGACGACGATCCCGCTACAATTTGCTCCGCTCCCAACTTGTGCTTGCGTCGGTGGTAGCTTGCTTGCGAGGATCAATTCTTTACTAGTATATCGTATCGTATATTACAATCAAATGAGTTTAAAATTGTGAAGAGAAATACACTTCACACTTTATTTAATGATTCCTTTTTACACTTCTTCATGCTCTTTCAGCATTAACGGCGTCGGAAGAGAAATGTACAACTTTGACACTATGGTTATCCTGCACCACGATGGTCGAAACGAATGGTTTGCACCGACGGAAATCAAATCCATTTGCAAGATCGACATAACGTTCTTTCCCTTTGACGAGCAGATTTGTTTACTTACTTTCGGATCATGGACCTACAACAGCCAATTCCTTGACTTGGCTCGCAAGAGCGAGACTGCTGACCTGCAAAAGTACACCAGTAATGGTCAGTGGACATTGGTCTCCGTAAATGCGACGCGAAATGTTGTTAAATATAGCTGCTGCAAGTATCCTTACGTTGACATAACATTTAGGGTCCACCTTCGGCGGCGACCGTTGTTTTTTGTTCAGAATTTGATTCTACCTTGCATTCTTTTGGCCACTTTGACAGTGTTTTCTTTCACGTTACCGCCAGGGTCCGGAGAAAGAATTGCATTGGTGATTACTCTCTTACTTGGCCTCACGGTATACATGCTCATTTTCACCGAGAACATTCCAAAGACTTCAGAGGTACTACCTCTGATCAGCAAATTTTTTATCGTGATCTTGTTTGAGGTGGCCTTTTGTTTGATGGGAACGTCGGTCACTTTAAGGTTTTATCATTTTAGTGAACCGGAGAGGAAAGTTCCCGCTTGGGTGAATTTTTTCATTGTTGGCTGGTTGGCGAAACTGTTGAGAATGAAAATGGCTGTGAACTTGTCAGAGAAGCGATACGGCCACAATACCATGATTTACCCTAAAGGTCGATTGAAAGGTACATTGTGGCATCGCCTTCTGGGGTGTAGAGCTAATGGTACCAGCTCCTTAAACGACGGTCGAATGCAGGGAAAAGTCAAAGATTCCATGGATGAAGAGCTGGAAGAAATAACGGACAAACTCTCCGACAATCCTAGTAAAGCCGTCGAGAAAAACGATGAATCGATGCGAAATAAAGAGAAGTGGCATTTCGCTGCCTCCGTGATTGACAGGTTTTTCTTCTTCTTTACAGGGGTGGCATTTTTTCTTTCCGTGATCATTTTCTACCTCAAGATACCACACTACGATAACGAAAAGAACTTTCAAGACATTCAGACCGGTTGAACATAAACGAGATTCTGAGGAATGATCCCTTAGATTTACAGAATTAGATTTTTGCTTTCCTCTTTTTACTTTAATTGACCTTCCAACATGCTCAAAAGACTGCTGACCAAGGCGAGTGCATGCCATTTCTTTGAATCCTTGGTGTAGAATGGGAGCCTTTCCACAGGCTACAATTTAATTAATGTCAACGCCGGTGGAGTGTGAACAAAAAGTACGCAATTTACTATCTTGAAGAGGCAATTTCCGCCGAAAAAAAGGAGCACCGCATTTTTTTTGTATTAATTTTTTTATTTTAAATTTATGCTTGTGTCGAGGTATAGCGCCTTGATTTCATTAGAACATATACCTAATCGTTGTAAATATTCAATTTTTATAGTTTTTGGCACCGAATTCTTTGAGTAGCAGTTGCGAATGTCCCAGAAAGCTGCTCTTTTATGTTGCAAGTAATATTATAGCGGATCATAGTTCTTAGTTTTGAATTTTAGACTTTCTAAAAGTGACCAAAGATTGTGTTCATTACTCTTGTCAACGTAATTCAGTTTCTTGAGCTTTTCTCTAGATTCTTTGTCTGTGAAAAATCAATCCACTCTGTGAATTTTCCAATGTTTATTGTTATTTTTTTGCAATTTCTACTTAGTTATCATGCGTAAGCCGAAGAGGAGAAATCGGTCAATTTTAATTTTTTCCGCGTTTTTATAACCTAAATCCTCAATCTCCTTTTGTGAACTATTTGTCTTTCTGTAATGTTTTAGTGTTCGTTATTTTTATGTACACGATAGTTCGGTGTACTGTTGAGTTGCTCATTAAATTTGAAAGGTAAAGAAAAACGTGCTTTGCAGATGTGTTTCACTAAAGGCGTCAAATGTGACGGTTAATCTTCTGCTATGACATCCAGCTAAAGAAAAAGAAAGTAACGACTATCTAGAGGCCTCTGTGTTCGTAAAAATAATATCTTGCGCTCCCTTGGTTTAGCGTGCCTCACATTTAATCTCGATTACTCTCAACCTATCTTTTTTGCTGTCGTCCAATCCTACACATTGAAAGCCAATCTGGTGCGTTATCGTCCATCCTCGAGCGCATTTCTGGGATCTTTGGCAGTCGCAACTTTTGTCTTGCGCCCTTTTTCCCTTGCATGCACTCTTATCCGATCTTTTGCGTGACCTAATAACCACGAGAGGTGCCCAGCAATCTTGCGTGACCAAATCAAACACTCTCGCGCAACAACTCTGGTGAGCATTTTCTTTAATCTCTTGCTTTGTCATGTTTCATGTCTCACTCGTATTGTTCCGATTCCGATCTCTCGAGGTTTCGTCTAGCCATCCCATCTTTGGTTCCCTCATGCGCTCTCGTCCAATACAGGGTTTTTTCACCCAAACTCATTTGCTCTCAACCAATCCTCTGCACCCTCGTCCGGTCTCGCGTACTTCCATTTAATTACTTCCATTTAATCCCAGGTGTAGAGGTTCTTATCAAATTTTGTGCGCCCACAGTCAATCTCCCGTAATCTCGTCCAGTCCCCTGTGCATTCATTAAATCCAGCGAGCAATTACAAAGTCAGAGTGCGTTCAGCTGCTCTCAGCGAATCATGCTTGGGTGGGAAGGAATAGTCATTAGAAAACAGACCCGATGCATAGACCGTTCTTATTCAATAGCATACTGCACTCCCGAAGTTCGTCTGTAACATTTTAATCCAAACTCGCTTCAGTGGTCGTATCCCTTCGAGGTATATTACACCGGAATGATCCCTACTGAGACCTTTGCATGAGGAGGCTTCTGTAACACGTTCCTACTGTAGTCTGACCTTGATTAGAGTTGGAAAATTCAGTTCGACTAATCTAGTATGTATCACTCATTATTCAATTAACGCGACCATACACCGTAAATTTTCGTAAACAAGACATTCGTGACTTTATCCTGTACCAATTAAGCTAACACAACGGAAGTGGTTACCACAATGCGGCAATTGTTTATTGAGATTGAGTTTAGTCTTCTAGAAAGCAAACAGGTGTTATTATGTATCAACATCTATCTTTCACTTTTTTGTCCGGCACTTGCTACGGTTTTGGTTTTGAAAGAGACTTCAGTAATCACCTGAAAGCGTTTGAAACTGTGTGAAAAGAGCGTTTTTCCTTTATCCATTTACGTTCATTTAACTCTTTAACTCCCATGAGTGATCATGAAAGAATTTCTCCTTACAATATCAATACACTATCAAGCAGACAAGTGGTGAGAAAAAAGAAAAATATCAATTAGGGGATTATTAGTTGATCCAATACCAAATTCTCCAAACTAACATCAAAGGAACTGTATGGCAGACAGTTAGGAGAATTACTGATGAGATCTTGGGAGTTAAAAGGTTAATTCAAAAAATTTCCTCCAAAGTCGGATTACAAAATTATGTTTCAGGATAGAAGCATTGTATGGAAAGAAGTCGGTTATTTATAAACCAGCTCTCCTTTTATTCGGCATCGCCCCAGTAACACTTCTGTCCGGCTGTTGCGTGCATCTGTTTCAACTTTGCATAAAATTGAGACATAAAGTGTAACTGCATAGAAATTCAGGATGGATTTATTCATTTTTATATATTTGAAAGTTCCAAATGCTGGAGAGGACCGACAAAAATTCACGATAATCAGCAATTATTTAGTCAGAATTCCTAACCCCCAAAAAACCATAGGAATGACACAAGCTGCGTTGCTTTGTTGAGGCAAAAAGTAGTATTCGCTATGAACAGTGTAGAGCTTGAAAGAAACATTCCATAGCACTCCAGGACGCGATGAGGTATCAAAAAGAGATGGGAAAGTCTTCTGTTTTGGTATTTGTAGGAAATAAACGCGGAACATTAACACTGCCTTTATTCTAAAGTTACTACAATGTTACAATTCTACACTATACACATACGAAGTACAAGCAAAGTCAGGTCAGAGGTTTGTTTCAGAGATTGGTGCCTTGATAATTATTCTAAACAATCATTTCGTTAATGGAACGGTACTGCGAAATATTTTATCATGCAAGTGAATAAGCAAGTTTGGTCTTGTTGAGATTGATTCAAATACGAGAAAGTTGTGGTAAATTTAGCGAAGAGTAAATCAGACGAAAAGAACTTTCATTCAGACAATGTCCATTAACCTTTCATTATAGTCTTAAAACTCTCTGGGCTTCATTTGACTATGAGAGTCGTTTCTTAGCTGAGTTATGCTCCCTTCAGCACTGACTAACGATGAAGGCCGATTTTCGACACATTGGATCGAGAGCGACAAAGATTTTGGTTACTCTTGGTACTTGCCTGACAATAAATACGGTGTAAAATATTTCAGCTATGTGTGGCTAGAAATTTAGTCAACCAAGCCACGTCACCTTGACCTAACCACGTTGGCAATTGAAATCGGCGTCAAACAATTCCAACTGTTTGTTACTTGCGCTTGATCAGAGCACCTCCCACCGAGGGTACATTGACAATTCCACGTTTCCGTGATCTTTTCCTTCAGACATGGACACTTTGACATCTTGCAACGAGACAACGGGAAAATTAGCAATAGGTAATATACTTAATTGCAGCACTACAGTTCGCTCTCTCTTCTACTGCACAAACGAAAAACTCTCGGGAGTTTATTAAATTTCTGTCTTTGCTTTGGACCCTGATAACCCCTGAGATGGCTATCGATCACTGAAAAATCACGTTTTGCACAACGACCCATCATCTAAATTACTATATATATTTATGCATGCTTAAACACTTTTTTGTAAAATTCCATTGGCTATGGACCACTGTAAGTGTCTTTTTCAAAGTTACTCGAGCACAGTCACCTTGGCCCTCTTACCAAAGTCATGTTTTGAAACATTGCTATAACAACTAAAAATTTTGTAAAAACCACCTTTGCTAAATATAGTATTTTAAAAAGATCAAAATGTTTGCATCCTATATGTTCGACAAGGTTCAGCATTTAGATATTATACATCTAAATATTTCTTTCCAAAGGCTCAAGAAGAAGAGCGCGATAAGCTACAAGACGAATTCACAGACGTTTTTGTTTCTAGAGTTTCCGGAGTTACTGAATCGTGTAACTGAGAGTGAGTAATAAACAGATCTAGAACAGTCTAGAAAAGTTTTCTTTTTCTTTACCGAAGATTGGCACAAACACTGAAATTTTTTGGACGTAGGCTGAGTCCAAACTGACTTTCTAAGTCTACATAGTCAGGCTTTGCGCGTGAAAACTGGAAACGCTGTAGCAAACATGCCAACAGGAGAAACATTTCTGCCTTAGCCAATGAGCTTCCAAGACAGCGTCGACTGCCAATCGAAAAAGGCAGCTGAAACTTGGTTTTTATATCGCAGACCTCTCCGTTTTCATTCAGGAATCGGTAAGGATTGAATACATGAGGTTCCTGGAACACGCGTGGGTCATGATTCACTGCCCACAGATTAATGACAACGAGCGTGTCCTTTGGTATCGTGTATCCACTAAGTGTTGTTTTTGCAGCTGTCTCATGAGGCAGAGCGAGTGGCAGTACAGAGGCAATGCGGAGAACTTCCAATACCGTTGCTTGTAATAAAGGCATGTTTCGCTTATCTTGGATTGTGGGAAGGAGATGCCGCCCAACAGCGTTATCCAACTCTCTGTGAAGACTTTGCTGTATCTCAGGGTTGTTTACGATATAAGCCATCGCCCAGCACAAGGAATTCGAGACTGTCTCCAGTCCTGCACCAAAAATATCGGCTGATAGCATTTTGACAATTTCTTCCTTCCCGTTGTTGGGTTGGTTCTCTTTTGGTGAAGAATTAGGAAGATCCGTCGGCTCTTCCAAATCTAAATCCATCTTTATCTCTTCGTAATATTTACTTTTAGCTTCCTCCCAAAGCTTTGCTAAGCTCAATGCAATGCAATTTTTATCAGTAGCCTTTTCTCTAGACGTAGTGTTAGTGTACACTTTATCAACGAATGACATCAACCCCTCGATTGAGCGTTCCACCATGGCCACCTGTTTGCGAATAAATGGTTTAATCCAAGGAAGGAAGTCCACCAGGCCGCAAGCTGCGCTGCTTTCGGTAAACTCGCTGGATTCTTCAACAAGCTTTTGCATTTCTTCTATGAGCTGGTCGACATTGCAAGGGTCTTCTCCAAACGTAAAGTGGAACATGATTTTGATAACAACCTGTTTAAGGTCAACAGAAGGCTGGAATGTTTTCACTTCTTTCTCGGCCAGACTTTCTTGGAATTCCAAAAACGCATCTTGCACAATTTTATTGAAATATTCTTGTTTGTCGAATGCAACTTGGTGAATTGCTCTTAGGGCACATCTCTTCCTGAGGACTTGAGCTGAGCAATGTTCTCCAAAAGAGATACTCGTTTTTCTGACATTCTTAGCGGCGAACAACGGTGGTCGATTGGACAACTGGCGAGAATTTTTCAACAGTGCTTCTCTGACCACCTCCTCGCTGTTCAACACCACTGCTTTTCTGGAGCCAAACTTTAAGGAAAACACATCTCCGTAGACCTTGCTGAGCTCAGTCAATGTGATATGCGGCGAGGAGCCAAGCTGAGCTAGATTTCCAAGTATTGGAAGGCCCCAAGGTCCTGGAGGATAATTTCGTAGCTTCGTCCATCGGTAGAAAAGGACGCTGATATAAGCAACTGAAAGAAGCAAGACAACCAGAGGCAGGATCTCAGCCAGGAAATTCAAAGCCATCAGAGACTTTTCAAGAGAGGAATAGCTCGTGTTAGGTTTCCGCAACTCGTGGAGGCGTGTGCGTGTTCGACCAGCGCTTAGTGCTGTTATTGCTATTGAAGCTAATCAAGTGTGAGAAGCAAACAATGAACAAAAAAGCCGAACTTTTCCCATTGCCAAGGTCAGAATATTAATCCCTTTGGGAGAACTAAATGCATACGTAATAATTTACGTACCGAAAGCCATGGCGACAGCAAACCTCACGCTATAACAAAATGAGACCATTAATCTGGCTTATGAATCTCAATGAATAGTTTTGTACGAACTAACTCTTAAGAAATCATTTCTACTCTGAACAGCAATGCATTTTTTAGCACGAAAGTTTAGAGAGGAAAGAAAATGACAAAAAAACAGTTCATTATTTCAGACACACGTAAAACTGATAATGTTTGTATCATGAAGCACATATAATCACAGCGGACACAGAGAGAAAATTTCTTACATGCACCGAGTCAACAGGCAGTTGATTGAAAGGAGAACATGACAGTCCTCGATTTCGGGGTCGGCTCACTAATGCAAAAGCTCTTCCCTCAGGCAGCAGGAGACTCTTTGTTTTTTCATTCAAATTTCGGAAGAGTCAAGCTCGTTTTATTGTTCTTAACTTTTCTTGTTCAAAGCCGGAGAGAAAGTTTGGGTTTAATGTTAGTTGAGACAAAAAAAAACTAAGAAACTGAGAAAAGCCATGATGTAACTAAGGTTAGTGAGGTTCTCAGGGAAGTCGTCTGTTATGATTTAGTATCTCGTTGTATTTCTGTTCGTTTCATGCCGTAGAAAACAAAATAAGCCAAGGTAATATGTTCCAAGTATGTTCTCAAATCGGGAAGAGTTCTAGTAAAATGAAAATTTTTCCGTCTCTTGATGATTCAAACCGAGCTACAACCAGTTTCTATCGCAGCCATCTTATTTAGATAATTTGGTTTCATCAACTGAAGTGATAATGTAAAAATCGGCCACCGTAAAGAGTTTCTAAGCTGACGTCTCGAGCGCTAGCCCTTCGTCAGAGCGTAACACAGTTTCTTGAGAAACTTGCCCCTTTAGGTTAAGCTGTAGAATACCCTGCTACTCATTTACATGTCACTGAATAAGAATAACGTTTATTGTGTTACGCCTCGATCTTCAAAGCTTTCCGACACATGTAAATGAGGTGGACGAAAGTGGCGGAGTAATCTGCAGTTAAGCCCCAGTTTCTTTATTCTTCTCTCGTAATTAAACTTTTGCTGCTCGAACGGGTAGGTATTTGTAATGCACTTTCATTGGTGGCAATTTGAGGGAGATCGGTGGACTTTTGTGGAATTTATTGGCCTTCAACTGGAGACAGTTGGTGCTCCAGACCGGTCCAGTGACCTGCCTATCCTATTTTTATAGTACACAAAACGCGATACAAAATTTCCGAAAGCGATAAGGCGGAGCTAGTAAAGGTAAGGAGACATAACAAGCTTTATCATTCAGCTGCAATAAGAAGAGTACAAATAACGCGTGAGTCGAAAACCCCAAAATGAGGTTAACCTCAATAGGGTTAACCGTTAGCAGTAAAACAGCAAAAAACGTAGCCGTTAGGCGCAAAATTGACAGATTTTAACCGTTAGTCGTTGTTAAAATTTTGTCTGGTTACCTTAATGGAAAGATATTAACCATTAGCCTTAAATTGGCCAAATTTTAACCCTTAGCCGTAAAAGCCATCACCCTATTGAGACCCTCTAAAATCATACGCAGTACGCTTGGGCCGCCTGTGGACTCACGAACACAAATATATTCACGGTGACAGATAATCCGATCGCAAGCTAATTCTTATAGCCTCCTCAAGTCGCTTTTTCAAGGTTTTTACCTCACCTATCACAACTGTGACCTAAACTTTAGTTTTCTTAGCTCTAAGATAATTATGAACCTATATGGTAACTTACATAAACATGGCTACCTGCTGCAATAATGATAACACTGGCTGTGGGCAATTTAAACCTGGGAAGGAGGAGGGAGATTGCACGGGAAGAAAAGAACTATGTTCAAGTCGTGTGGCTTAACGGTGTAAAACTCAAGAAAAGAAAAATTGCGCTGAGTGAGAGAAAAGAAGTCGGATTCACACTGAACTGGAAAATTATGTAACCATGGAAGAGATGGTGGGGTGCAAAGAGTGAATTGCGTCTAATTTCTCCTTACCGTGTCACCCCTGAATCACATATTAAGTTTACGAGAATAAAGGAAATGATCACCAACTGAAGAAGCTCTTGGTTGTTTAGACAAATACCCTTATGAGCACCTAGTTTGGCAAATATATTCACTGACGTCAGGGAGTAAAGGGTCAATGGAAGGTTGATGTGGGCTTTTTATACAAAGAAAATGGTAATGGAAGATGGAGTTACAAATACTCTTCCTTTTCCACCTACATGATAAGAAGTGATGCGATTTGTACAGCAAAGGAACTCGTCGCGCACTTAACGAAATGACTGGTGATGTGCGGTTTCCGCAGGAGAACGTATAAAGCACCGAATTAAAGAAAAAAGTATTGATCAATTAAATGTGGCGAATGTTAAACGTTTTTAAAAAGAGGAGCGTTTTGCGAACTCAGATCGGTAGAGAAAAACATCACGTACCCTACGTTAATCAAATATCGTTAAATAGCTAAAAATTGATACGAGCCACCATAAAAAAACAAAAAACAAAAAACATAAAAAGTATTGCGCAGTCGAGTTTGAGGGAAAAGTTTGGCGCACTTGCTGATAAATGCTTAATATGCGCTCAAATACAATGAAACGTGACACGTCTTGAAATGCGAAGGGACGAGTTGCGTACTTAATTGAAGGAAAGTTATTGGCAACCTAAATGTGAGGAACACCGTTGTGCCCTTTGCGCCCTGGAAACGCATCGTGTACTCAATGCAAGGCAAAATATTGCACACTTATCAGCCATAAATCGCATAACGCACTAAAAGGAACCGTATCATGCGAATAAACAAACAAATTCCTTTCAAGTCCGGGGAACTCACTGCACACCGTTATGAGCAAGAAAAGTATTTTATGTCATTTAAATCTATTTACACACATAATTAAAGAAGGGTACCAACGCTTCTAAAAATTGCAAAAGTCTGCTGATACACTCTTTGGACGAAGAACTATTTCTGGTTTTTGTTTTGTTATGTTTATTTTTTTCCGTTACACGTTCCAAGACTACAAATTATACTTATGACGTGCAAAATTAATTGTGCTTTACAACTGGCACGAAAGCTTCGTGACTGACCAGTTCGTGCGACTGCGCTAGACTCCAATACAGACGCTTCTAATGTAGCAAGGGTTTGATCGTAGAATATTCATACGAGAGAAGCATGATTTAGTGATATTCACAGTGTCAAACCTAATTGTACACGTGCGAAGTAAGTGTACTTTACACTAATTTGAAACTTAAACTAAAATTTTGTGACTCCGTAATCTTTGGTGAATTGGTTCGAGTGCATTAGACTGCAATACACTAAGATAACAGCTCCACAAATGTTGAGCAACTAATAAATTAGTTGGCAGGTACTTCTCACAGCACTGTACATCTACAGTAATTTAATCTTGCCATGGTGTCCAGATGCCTTCCAATTCTGCTTTAATGAAAGCCCGAGGATCAGGCAATTTGTTGAACGGAGGCACCATCCCTTTTATGTAGTACTGCACTCTCTCTTGCAATTCCTTGACTACATCTGGAAGTTTCTCACTAAGATCTTCGTGTTCTGTTGGGTCAGCGGTCACGTTATATAGAACAACTTTCAGGCGACTTCCAACGTTCTGTAGAAGAGAATTTATCTCGTGAGAAAAAGACTGACTAACTAAGAGTTGCTGTACTGGTTATGGCATTGATATGTACAATTTCCGTTCCTTGTTTGCTTAAACAAGAACAGGAGAGGACTAAGAACATTTCCGCCCTCTCTATGCCAAACTAATTGTGTTGTTTATCAAAATATTATCACCTCAGTTGATTAAACCAAATTATTTTGTGATACACTCCACTGATGCAGCACCACAGTTTATTCTATTTATTTATTTAGAAACTTACCCCCTTCATTCATGAGATATATGTGTGTGGTATTGCACAACATGCATAGCCATCAAAAAAATTAATTTTCCAGACTGAAGCAACAAAATAAAAAGGGCCTGAGCCCAAAGACAATATATCATATCAACTTCACATCATGTGAACTGATCTGTAGAAAATATTATAAGTTGTTTCAAAATGGAGTTCATCACAGATGTGTCAAACTTGTTAAGATCAAGTTCAGATTACTTGAACTCATAAAGATACACTGACCTCCTTGGTAGATGCTAACAAATCCAGGACTTGATCTTTTCTGGGGGAAATCACATGTTTGCTTTCTGATTTCCCACCAAGCTCAGGAGGTGTATACCAAGTATCATTATTCACTCCCATCAGAATTTTCATATGACCTGATCTCAGTGCAACTCCCTCATAGAAGGAAACAGATGGATCATCATTGTCAAAAGGAAGAGGGTCAATATTGAGAAGAATCTCCTTCCTTGGTGAAGGGTCACCATGGGAGATGGCGTTCCAAACATCCATACCATCCAGGGGTATTGATTCTTGATCTGCGTCACCACCTGTAATATGTAGTGCAGAATAAGGTGAAGTTATATCTTTACTTAGGCCCAGCTGCACACAATGATGGACCTTGTCTTGGTTTCTGTAGCATGATGCAATTCTGGATGGCATTGCAATCTATTAAACAATTATTCCACAAGGACATGTTGGATATGAGGTCATAATAGATGGCTAGGGAGGCCTATTGGATCAAGTTAGCTATAATCATCTCATATCCAACAAGTACAAGTAGAATAATTGTATTATTAAAAATGCCCCAAAATATAAATCTTCCCACTTTATTTTGTAAGAACAAACAGAATGTTACAACGTGCAAAAACACTTTTGTTTTAACTCCTCTTCATGTGCATGCAGGGTATAATGGCTCATAACCCATGATGGCTATACCAAAAAACACTCTTGAATTGCAATATCCAATGATCCAGCTTTTAGTAATACAAGTTATCCCCCACCCCCAGCATTTTGCCTGGTTTCCCTCAAAGTTTGCCAATACACATCGTGACAACACAATGACTTGGCTAAGGCTTGAAGCAGGAAAAGAGGAAAATAGGACCATTGACTTTACCTGCAAGATTTACCAATGTTGGATACCAATCTGTAGCATGCATAAGTTCTTCACTTTTGACTCCTTTCCTGCCAAGCATATTTCCATGGACAAAACTGACTCCTCTCACCCCTCCCTCCCATAAAGTTGTCTTCTCTCCACGAAGGGGATAATTATATCCTCCACGACTGTGGATTCCTCCATTGTCAGTGGTTAAAACCATAAGTGTGTCTTCCCACAACCTGATAAATGACATGAACATCAAAAATAAATTGATTCTTTGGAACCTTCAGGGGAAGGTAAGTCTGCATTTGAGCCAAGTACCCCACTTGGCAAGAGCTAATACTAGTTTCCTTAACCCTCTCCCTCCCAAGATCTTATCAGTAATTCTCCTAACTGTCTACCACACATTCTTGTGATGTCAGGCTGGAGAATTTGTCATTGGATCAACTACTTATCACCTAATTGATATTTTTTTTATTCTTAACATGTGTCTGCTTGGTATTGTATTGATATTCTAAGGAGAAATTCTGTCTTGGTCACTAATGGGAGTTTAGGGTTGACATGGACGAAGTGACTAGGAGTATTCATACTCCTGCTTGGGTGGGATGCTAGTTCATTGCAAATTTATCCCCCCCGCTCCCCAGTATGTCATCAGGCTTCCCTCAGTTCCTGGGTACTCGTTTATACTCCATGGTGGGGAGAGGCACTGCAACAGTAAATGTTTTGCCCAAGAACACAGCACAGTGACCTGGCCAGGTTTCAAATCTAGACCTCTTGGCCCAGAGTCCAGTGCATTACACCAATGTGTCTCCTGCACTTGCAGGGGTAACTGTCTGAAAAGTAAATAGTTTCTTTAGCCATTTTTTAAGGCTGTTTTTTTCAGTCCTAATGTTGAACAATTTAAGAAGTAATCATTCATCGAAAGAGAAGGTAGTTCCAACTTCATAGTAGACAGGGTGAGAGAACCCAACCCTTAAATTGTTTGAAGTTAAATAGAAGAAAAAAAAAAGGCCCATACCCAGCATCCTTCATGGTCTGTGTAATATTGCCTATGGCTTCATCTGTAATGCTCACCATGCCTGCATAGGTTCGACGAGTTTCATCTGTAATGAAACTGTACTTTTCTGTATATTTTTCAGGTGCTTGGACGGGGCCATGGCAATTTTGGAATGCCATATACATGAAAAGGGGATTTGATGGGTCATGTGACTTGATAATTTCGGTTGCTCGCTGCAATCAGAATATTTGTGTGAATAGCATGTTAAAAGTTAGAAACAATTGAAGGGTCAGGCTCATGGTACTTTGCAAAGTTTTGGACCCTGCAAACTTTTGATCTGATCTTGAATCTTTTCACCCCTTGGCAATAATGATCCTTGAAGTCTCCTTCATAAGGTGGTTATTTTGTATCAAAGTCTTGCACTTTTCAGAGTTCTCAAAACTAAGATTTGGTCTAACTAGTTCATTTGAGGGTCCTAGTCAGATGGGATTGTAAAGGACCAAAGTCTCTGTGCAGGTCCATCATGTAAATAGGGTGCATGCAATAATTTGATAATTGCAACAAGAGAGGTGCTATTCCAAGAATTGTGTCATCCTGGTCTTGGATTTTCAAAGAGCTAGGTCTCAGCATCTCAGCAAGTCTCTGATTTTACCACTTACCACCCTTAAAATAAACTTATAATTCAGTTGAATTGATAAAAACTGAGAAGTACATTTTCAAAAACTGATATATTTGTGCAATGATCAATACTCAGGCTACTTGGGTATGATGTTAGTCTCAAACCCTATGATCTGATCTCCTAGAAATAAAATGAAAAACAAAACAAAATCAGCAACAACAGCAGCTACAACTCAAATTCAAAATACCTTTGTGAAAGCAAATGTGGCATATGTCCCATTCAGGTCCCTCACTGGTTCTTTATCATCTCGTAAGTCCAATATGTTCTGGATTTCATGGGTGTAGTGATCTTCAGCTCCATTGTAATAGCCATAGAATGAATCAAACCCACGATAAGTCGGTGTATAGGCCCATTTGTTATAACCAAGGTGCCATTTACCAACCATATGAGTTGCATAACCTTTGGGAGAAAACATGAAGTTAAAAACTTTTCATTTCCCAAGATATGAGGAGTTATTTTTTAAAACTTGCCTCACAGTTGCTACCAAGTTATTTAAAACAACTTTTTTGTCACCTCACCCTAAAGAAGATACCCTTTCCCACTAAGGTTTAAAAGAGCCTTTGAGGTAAGCCTGCAACATTGGCCAATTTCTATACAGGCAGTTGTTGATGAGGGCCAGGTTGTTCAAAGCTGGGTTAAGATAGATCTGGAAGCTCAAAATGGAAATTCAGCATAATTCTTTTTTTCTATAATTTGACATTGGATGCTCTAAGAAGAATAGAGAAAATTAACTGAAAAAGGCTTTTGAACAAAGTAATAAAGAAACCTGGATTAAAATTTCAATAACCTTGGGTTAGTGCTAATCCTCCTTTGAACAACTGGGACCAGGTCTCCTCATAACTCCACAATCACTATTACAGCTATATGCAACAGTACCAAATGTGTAAGAAATGTGGGTACAAATAAGAAATTTTCATAATCTAACTAATGTGGATGATTTATACTACATCAACCAACACTATGCGTGTATCAAGCAAAATAAAATTAATTTAAGCGTACCTAATTCTTTCATTTTCTGTGGTAAAGTGGTGAAGTTGAGAGGTAATCCATAGGGACTTGCCGGACCCAACACAAAGTGCTGCATACCTTAACATCAGTGGAAAGAAAATAGTAAGTAAGTCTAATTGTTACAAGTAAGCCTGCGACCACGAGAGCCTTAAACATGCACAGGGCTAAGAAAAGGCTTACTCTCCATTTTTATCCAGCGGAGGGTTATACTCCCAACTTGGAAAAGTTGCAGGGTTTTGAACACTGCTAAAGTTGTGGATAGTTTAATCTGTAGTTGTAGTATTGATGTGCACGAATCATATGTGCTAACGACTAGCGCGATATGAAATCGAAGCTCTCGAAGCAGCAGACGCAACGGGTGCAACCGCAGTATTTTAGATTCAAAAGAAAGTAACAGTTAGACGTATAACCTCCTGTATAACGATTAATTTTACTGAAATGTACACCAGATGGGTCATTGCTGGCGAACGGCCAGGATCTCTGAGTCAAAGTGGGGTCAGGAGAGCACCTGCTAATCGTCAACTATTTCCGGAAAGATTTAGACTTACCAGTATGGATTGGATATCTTCCTGTCATGAAAGCGCTTCTCGTAGGGGTGCAAACCGGTAGAACGTAATAGTTGTCCAGCTCGACACCTTCCGCCGCCAATCCGTCAATATTTGGAGTCTCAATTTTCGAGCCGTGAAATCCGACATCACTCCAGCCGAGGTCGTCAACGACAACAAAGAGAATATGGAGAGGCGAGGCTTTGGTTAAGGCGACTGCTTTTGCACGGCTGACGAGAAAAACCACGGCAATCAAGCTGCAGAGCAGAGGCAGCGGACGAGGTCCCATAGCTAAAGCGATGCACTTATGACAAGTTTGAACAAACTAATTCAGTGACTGTTACCAAGTAGCACAATATCGGATAGTTATAGCCCGGCGAATCCCAGAAGACATCATATCCAAATCACGCGCTCAGCCCACGCAATCCGTATATGTCTTAACACCAACCCAGTCCGCGCGCATTTGTTACAAGTCGCAAGATCTATTTTCGTCCGGCAAGTATTTCTTTAGAAGAAAAGAGTAGTCAAGGTCACTACATTTATTTCAACCAAGGGTATTCAAGGTCGTTGAGTTTTCCCAGGTAAGATATTGTTGATTTAAGGGCAATCGTCCCGAAGTTCCATGCACCTGACACAACCCGAACATAAATAAGAACACTCGCGAGTTTTTTAAGGCGTTTTTGGTCTTTCTGTTCTTAGTTGCCGCTTAACATCAAGAAGAGAAGGGGTGGAGTGGAGAGGAGAGAAGAAGGGTGGGAGGGGAAGGGGGGGGGGGGTTATGACAGTAGCGGGTAAGCAATAGTTAACTTAAGTTCATCTTTCGTAACTTTCTCTGCGACATGTTTGTCATTTTGGATTCGTTGAATGTAAGGAGCCTGGAACGACTTGAAAGAGTAGATCGTACGAAGAAAGAAGGGGGAGGGGGAGGGGAGGGGAGTGGACGGGTCAAATAGTTTAGCGTTTAGACAAGGAAATTTCTCAGCGCTCAAAATTTCTTTTAAGAGAATGTTTATTTTTCTCCTCGCCATCCTTATTTTTCTTTACGAGCCGACTTTTTCATGGTGCTTTCCGAAACCTGCGTGATTGTTTAAAATCTAGTACTAGACCAACAGGTGCCGGAGAAAATTGCATCGTTGGTGCTGAGAGCCTCCCTTCATTGTTTAAAATCTAGTACTAGAAACCAACAGGTGCCCGAAAAATTGCATCGTTGGCGCTGAGAGCCTCCCGTCATTTATAAAGTATTGTCTACAAAAGCGTCACGCTTTCCACAAATAGTTTACGCTATGAATAATTTAATTTGCAATCTGTTCGGCTATGAACACCACAGTTACAATGAAACGTCTTAATCCTCTTTTTTACACTAGTACTTCTTCCCATTTTTATGAACACCAGCCTCTCTTAAAATATCAGTGAGATGCAGATTGATCTTAAGGTTATTGCATTCTTAGTCAAAAGGTGTTTGCTACAAAACTTTTCCCTTATGTTTTGAGGAGTATGCGAAAGACTGGAAAATATTACAATAATTTTGACAGTTACAATTGCGGATGATTTACGCCCTGAGACATGTAGAACGAAACTTAGTGTTCTTTTTTTAAATCGAAGGGGTCCTTTTAAGATCCTTTAGGGCTGCTTATCTTTTACGCGTTCTTTCAGGAGAGCGGAAGCAAGCGTAAGGCGACTTTAGAGTGCTAGTGTCACGCGAGGTCGCGTCCCTCCTCTTGCGTGCTTGCCTCGCGGGTGCCTCTGCTCCATTGTAAAATGTTAAAATATACCGCTGTTTTGCAAACCAGGGTCCTTTAAGACTAACTTATGGCTTGAGGTCACTGCAACTCTTTCCTGCAATTATGTGGTCTCAAGATTTCGGAAGACTGCGAATTGACTAAAATTCACGTTTACGGGAATGACAATCCACCGAGTTCTCTTCCCATATAGCATTCATTGAAAAGTCTTAATGCACAAGTAATCCCTTAATGTACGTTATCAAGAATAACCTTCACAAAAAATGTCATTCTCTCGCGATTCTTCGGGCGAGTGGAGTGAGCTCAGTGCGAAATTCATGCGCGTGTCAAACGCGAGTTATGCGCGAGGGATGAGCGGTCTTCATTGCGTGACTCACTCGTCGGGCTTTCCTCGCACAAGCCCTGCACTTGCCTCCATCTGCCCGCCCAGAAAACTTAAAGAAATGACGCTTGTTCTATATATTACGTCTAGGCAATGACCAACAAATTTTCAGCTCTCTGGCTTCGGTTGTATGAGTACCACCAGCGAAGAAATGACGATGGTCAGAAGAAACAGAAAAAAAAAGAAATTGTCAATAACGTTTACAACAACATGCCATTCTAGTTTGCGCTTATCTTCAGACAAAGCCCGATCTATGAACTTGGAGACTTTTTCCATACCCGCCACTTTAACCTCCTTCTCTTCCACGTTAACAATGTTTTTCACATCCTCTTGCGACTTTATGTTCGTAACGACGATTTTGTCATCGTCGGGGACGATGCGGTTCTCTTTCACGTAACATTCGATTGGTTCATTTTTTACTTTATTTTTAAGCTGTTTCCTCTTCAGTCTCTTTAAAGAGTTGCTGCACAGAATAGGACCCAGTACCTCGAACAAGATGTACCGTGTCCATCCTGTGAGTTCCATTTTAGGATGTTGATGCTCTATGTTGAGACTAATGCAGGTGCACAGGAGACCCAGGGAAATCTCGATCATGACTACAGAGAAGTAGGTACTTATAAGAGGAGTCACCTCTGACGTAGACGGTATGGCTTCAATCACTACGATCATAAAAACAGTCATACCAAGTAGAATGGTGATCATAAGAGATATTCTCTCGCCCGTTTGAGGCGGAAAGAGGAACGCTGTTGCTGTGAGAAGGGCTAGGACGATGCACGGCATAATCAAGTTGTTCACGTAGAACAAGGTACGCCGCTTTATTTTTATCTCGAACGTGAGGTCTGGATAAGGTTCCACGCAGCATCCATAATAAACCACGTTCCTCGTCGCGTCCGCTGACAACAGATCCCACTCACCATTTAGTGTGAAAGTACTCAAGTCCGCACCAGGTTTTTCTCCGTAGAAATCCAGGTCAAGTTTGAAGCCATTGAAAGTCCATGAGCCGAATTTGAGGTAACATGTCTGTATGTCCCAAGGGAAATACTTGACGTTGATTTTGCACGAACTTTTGATGAGATTTGGGGACAACCACGTGGCTGTACCGTCACTGCTGACGATGATCTTTGTGTCGAACAGATACTGCTCGCCATGGTCTCCTTCTTCATTGACACTTTGGACAGAAATGCAAGACGCTGTGAGCAATTTCGTTTCCTATATAACTAAAGATCCTGTTTGGAAATTGCTCAGATGCATAATGTAATGGAGCGCTTTTGATTTGCGTAGCGTAAATACAACCCAAGGTAAAGCTGTGTAGTAATAACCGCCAATCAGCGGTGTCGGGAATACGCTTGTGATCAAGTGGCTACTGGTTTTCCCTTTGATCTGATTGGTTGAAGGGGTGGCGCGATTTTCTGGACCAATCAAAGAGCGTGGCGAAGTAAACCGATGCAAACATGGATGTCTTTGGATACTCAACTAAAATTGCTCTTTAAGGATGAACGAACGGTTCATATTGGAACCCACCTATCTGATCCTAATATTTTATTTCAAGAATTTTGGGGGCTTTTTCCTTTCCTCTTGCCGTCTTTGACGCGGAGACCCGACAGGGGAGTTTGGGGAAAACTGTTAAAGGTGGGAAAGCTCTGAATTACAACTCACTTGTTATGCAGAACAATATCGGGTTTCCACACCAAGTTGGGACTTATGTTGATAGAGCTGAGACCATTGTATTTTGATGCGTTCCAGGACAGCCAAGGATCGTGCCATTGCTGCAAAGAACAGGAACAAAAACAACTGCCTCATTTATACTTTGAGATACTTGTAAAACACTATCAAAAACTACACTTAAGAAGGGTCAAGATAACAGAACTGTTTACATAACGTTAACAATGCTTATTGCGGTAGATATTGTAGAAGATTAATCTCCGTGGTTAGAGCGCGCTATACTACAATCGAGCAATTCACATGTGTATTCTTGGGCAAGAGAGTGCCTGTCCGCCTCTCAAGAGGGTATATCTAAACGTTTTTACTTTACCTGTCTTATCCAAACGTTACTTGTCAAAACTTGATTCTTTTCATCCTGCAGACCAAAAATCGATATGTCAGTTTAACTCAGGTACAAACGTGAACACGGAAATGCTTTGTTCTTGGTCATCAGATCTCCTTCCTCGATGGGGGCTCGGTGCGCATGGAGCACAGCGCACCGATTTTCAGGATATCTACGGGTAGGCTCCGATAGATTAAGCCGGCATATTTTTGGGCATGATGCTATAGTCACAGAATCGAGCATAGTGCCGGCAAAATGACTAAAAAAACATGCACATAAACGCGTTCACCTGCATTTCTAGTACTTTATCGATTATGAAAATTGCAGGGTCGTTTTCGGCATATACCTCTCAAATGCCGTATATGTGTAGCCTGAGAATTGAGTCCAATAAAGTGTTGTCTTTGAAGTGCAGTAAGTCTTTCATCTCTAGTAGGTTTTACCTGTCGGTGGCAGGGAGGAAGATAAGGGGTTGAAGCGCTCTAAAAATCTCTCGATTGAGTTAATTAATGGAGCATAATGCAATTTTGGCATAACGTTGTATTTTCAGAAAAAGCTCCGAAGCATAATACTCGAATTTTCGAGCATATTATATCTGACCCTACCTACAGGCATCGATTTTTTATAATATAATTTTTAGATAAAAAAAAACGATTTTTTCGCGGAGCATTAAAGGCCATTAAAGGACCTGTCATACTGCTTGCTTATCGTTGGCTTCAGCCTAGAAACATCTTCAGTATGTGAAGTCTGTTTTTCTATCTCTCCCATATGACGATCGTTAGTTCTACTGGAAACACGTTGTAGTTTTGTACGCGCCTAATTTATTTCATCGACTACACAAACCAAACGATTTAAAAAAGTGAAACGATGCGAGGCAAAGCCAAGCGGTAAAGGACAATTGTGATTGAAACACGCTGTACCTACACTGGACAAGAACAGACGCAGAAATCGAACCTGAACATAAGAAACAAAGAGAGTATGTGAAACGAAACTATTCCCAGAACTTTCAAAGACTTTATCCTTATGTGAGGTAGAGAGTTCAACAGTTGTCCGACTTTACCTCTATTTTATGCAAATGATACAAGAAAGGCGCATGCCGCACGAGGCACGAGATTCCGATCTCAAAAGCCACGTGTTCGATTACGTAATCCGATAAAATAAAGGTACAAATCGCGTCCAAAATCCAATTTTCAACAGGGGAGCACGCATTTGAAGACTAATTAACAAAGCTACAAGAACGTGTAAACTACATTAAGTAAAAAAAAGACAATTCGAAAAAGACGTTTAGTCCTTGCACCAACACAGATGTTATTGCTAGCGCGAAATACGATAGCTCTTATGCTTGAGTGCCTAAAGTTCTGCCTTCGGCAATTTTTTCCAAATTATATCGTGACTATACCGGCACCCACAGGGGAATTGGTTTACAACAAGCTGTTTATATATATACTCAAGTTACAATTCCACAAAAGAGCTTTTTCAATTATCAGAAGTTGTTTTGTTTATTTTGTCAAAAGGATGGATTACAAACACAGCAGTTGGTTGCGAAATAATCGAAAAGCGCAGTAACCATGAATTTAACACTTGAGAGAAACAAGATGTTATGATGACCTTGATAACATTAACGAAACTGTAAACAAAAAACAAAAAACGAAAAAACATTGTTATCCAAAAACACGAAATAGAATGGAAATAAGGGGCAGCGGAAAGACTCCACATTGTAGATTGTGAGAGAGATGAGATTTTCGTAGGATGAAAGTAAATAGAATGGAATGGATCACGGTTTCCGCGGAACAGAGGAACTGAGGCGTAATATTAATTCTAGAAAGTCTTAAAATGAAAAGACTCAAATGATGAAAACGAAAGAGAAAAGCGCAGCAAATTCAAAACTAAACCCGAACAATCTACAACTTGCCACACTTACCAAACTTTGAAGATTACTGTAGGCTAATCCAAACTTGACTACAACTGGTGTCGACAGGTTCAAAACTGGTCTTCCTTCCGAATCATAATTTTTAAAGAGAGCCTTTATCAGACTTTGCTCAATTTTTGTTCTGTTTATTTGAGCATGACAACCTACAAAGAGAAAGTAAGAACAACTGAGCTTGCGAACAAAGCAAAATTAGCTGAAGTGAATGTTTTTTCATTGTTGTTTTAGTAAGTGCAATAAATGCTAGAGGGAAGAACGTTTTTTTTGCCCAATTTGTCAGTTGATCTAATTAAACGTGGAGTTACTTTATGGTAGAATGCAACATTAAAAGTCCTCTTATGAAAAATGTCAATGTGATTTTAAATTTAATCTTTCAAAACAGCTGCAGACACGCAACTTTTTCACGAAAGAAGGGCACAGTTTTTGATAATAGATAGCATTTAACGGAAGAATACTCGAATAATCAGGAACACGAGGGAAATTCATAGCATAATGGTCGCACAAGCACAGTGATAAAAAAAAAAGTTCTAAAAAAGCTATTTTCGGGGTATATATTTGTCAATCTTCGATCTTTGTCACTGATGAGTGGTAAGTATTTGAATCTTTGGCTCTTCCCTCTTCAAGACTTAGTGCAAGATAACATACTGAGATAGTTTGAAAAATAAACCTTCGCAATCTTTCTTCAGATTTTGATTCCATTGCCTGAGAAGCAATTCAACATGCTTTCGAGATGATCGATAATTCTGTGATTCTACACGACTCAAACAAACATCACTTCACGAACCAATCTGTTTTGTAGATTAAAATCTTAGAAAAAACTAATTTTGGAAAGCAATTTATCATAAATTGTCAATCTGATCCACCTTCTCTCAGCAGCTGGGGAACTTAATGAGATCTATATCGACAAGAGATAGACAATTTGTTTGCATATGATTTCCCCTTTCAGTTTCTTGTAAACAAATAATTTTTACCCACACACTTATGGGAACTGCTGATTGCTTTACCCCGCAAACTTGTTCTTGCATGAATCATCTCATTCGACCCAAATTTTCTTCAATTGTTCCGTGTAGTCTACAGCAATTAAAAACGCCCCTCTTATTTTGTCACATTAATTAATATTTAACGTGAGTTGCTGTGTTGAGCGGATGGGAGATTTTCCAACAAGTCTTTTCATCAGTGATTTGATTCCATATCTCCATATTGGTCCAATTTACAATTTGTATGGGCAAACAAACCCAGTGTCAATGAACGGGGTTTTGGAACCAAAAGCAGCTTTGCGTGTGAGTACTCCAAAACGATCACGTCGTTTGCAGAAAACTAGCAATTATTAAGCATGCACTGAAAACAAATTACCCCAACAAAAATCGCAGCGGCTTTTATTTCGTTTATGACAAATGCTTTTTCTAAGATCACCTGAAAATTCCAATGAAAAACCCTAACTTATCATGCATTTCCGTAATTTCTTTCGAAGATCGCAGAATTTTGAACCCTCATGCGCTTAAAACGATTTGCATCATAAAAGGAAACATTAAACGGCACGAAACTAATTTCTTCAGGTTTTGATTTAATTCACAGAAGAAAATAAAAAACATCTACGGGCCAAATACTTTGAAAGATTCTAGTCTCCTAGCAACTCCACGTTGTTTGCTAATCTGATCGGGAAAGTTCAGATTGCCCCTGACTCTCAAAGGGGCACCGCACGACGATTAAAAACACGGCTAAAATCGTATCCATGCTGTGTAAGTAGCTGAGAACATAAAAGAAAGTGAAAAAAATTAAGAAAAAATTTGACCACGAGGGTTCGGTGGATTTCGCGAAATAAGACATCATTTGGCTGGGAAAGTCTCCAGTAATTAGGAAAACGTTCAACACTTGAGCAAGCCGACAGTAACCTACATATTGCGTTTCTATAGTGATTTTTAAAACGAATCTGTTGCATTCACAGAGGAATCCCAATATTGCAGCTCTTTAACTGAAGAAGGCTGCAAGCTGCTCTATTCACACTAAGTCGAGCTGATCATGAAGAATCGAAGTGAATATCATTAAAAAATATCACAACATCACTTAGAGCCAAGTTTAAAGCTGTTTATTCGCATGTAGGATTAACCAAGTCACGGCTCGTTTTAACAAGTTTCTAATTCACTCGGTAGTTGACGCAAACGAAATTTCTCTTTTGTCGCTTATAAAATTTTTCTTGTTTAGTCGTAGCTAGCCAATCTGTTTTAAGGTTCAGTTCGAGCCGATAGTTAGACAGGTAACCGTTGCAGTTTACTCTTGAATTTGCGTGATCTCATCCGTAAATATCTGGGTGAACAGAGCCATACTATTCTCTGTTGTTTAGACCCCTCTGTTGTTCCAAAATTTTGTTCTGAACCTTAGGATTTTGTAACCAAGTATCAAAATATCATGCAAGATTGCGGAAAGTATGCAAATTAGTGACATACTGTCTGGTGATGTAGCAGAAGGAGAGCCTAGCTCTGTTACATCTTTCGAAAGAATTAGTCACCAAAGAAGCTCAGCTTTGTGTTTCTAAAATAAAAACGCTTTCTTACATTTACAACTGTGAAGACAAAGGCGAAAGAATGAACAATAAACTAGAAACACGTAAACTGTAATATGGCAAATGAGACAGGTCAAATTCAATGATTCCTTGAAACCACATTTTTAAGTTTCTAAACTTTTAGTAAAACTGGATAGAAAATTTAGACTTAGAAGCATTCACTTAATTAGAAATTTGCACTTGCCATACTTAGCATACAAACAAGGAATGTACACAGGTTTTCTATATTTTGTGATGTACTGTACCGAAGCACCTTACTTACGTCTACGATATACTTACTTTGATACTTCATTGTCACCAATATTACTTTAAACGTGAAAATCGACAGGAAGCAATGTTGAAGTGTTAAACTGTGGGGAAGCATCGTTTTTTGCGGTCGTTTCTCTGCGGAACCCCAACTGTTTATGCGTCTGTGGCCAAGAAACGAACGTTCATAAAGTTATTAGTTCATACACGCGATTTGCTGCCTTTAAAAGTCTGGAACAATTCTACTTACCTGTCTTCTTTGAGTTTCCTTCGAAACCGTCAGCGATAAAACTATCCGAAGATATCTTCCCTGATAAAATGAGATGTGGTAAGCTGGATGGCCAATGGTCAACAAAGATTGGTTTTTGATCGATTTCAGCCGGGCTACCAACGTCGCTGTTTAATTAAATAGCGTGCATAAAGCGTTGAGAAGCTCAATCTGTCTGTTTTTACGCTTGAATTTTTGCCTGATTAAAATTTCATTTAAATCTAAGATTTTCCTTTTCACCTTTATTTACTGTTCGAAAGAGCCTTTCCAACATCAATGCGTGTGAAATCTTTCCCACATTCACTTCATCGCCTTATCAAGATGTAAATGAACCGAAGGAAAATAATTTACAGCATTATTAACATCTCAAAAGACTGCCTCGGGACTTGTATGATTAAAACTCTCTATAATAAGGAATTTTGGCGCCCAATGGTTTATATTCTTTAAAATTCAAAACAGAATTTCCGAGAACCGTTCAACAAGCAGTATTTTAAGAAATAAAATTATATACCACAAAAATTCGTACAAACCACGAGATCTATTTAAACCAAATAAACAATACCAGCAATCAAAACAAAATTTTTGTTTACAACTCGCTTCGGCTCGATGAATTTAACATAAAAATGGCCTGTGCTGTCTATAACTGCCATCGTTCGCGGCTGTAATTGGACCTATGAGAACTCTGCCCACAAAATAGGTTTATTATGGTGTGCAATTCGCCCCAGGAACATCTTTATTAGGAGTTATCGACACTCATTCAAGCTCGAAGGAAAAAAATCAATGAAAAAACACCTGCAAAAGACCGGATGATTACGAAATATGCTTCAATAGAAGTATATTCTTGTTTTTTTTTTTCTAAGTGAAAACTCAAACAATCTCAAGTGATGATTGCTAAACTATTCTCCTAAACCTTGGGAAAAAAGCATTTAATAAAGGCATTTAGAAGGAGTGCGTCAGTTGCTTTGCGAACCTTAAAACAAATAATGTTGAGAATTTTCATTTTAAAGATAACAATATCAAAATTAGAAAAAAATTTAGATGTTTAAAGTTTAGAAAATTACATTTTAAGATGATAAGAATAAAATAATAGGTACTAAGTAGCGAGCAAAAATTTTTATTCTGTTGTGTATTTGACGGCTGCCCCCTTCCACCTAAATACCAAACAACAATCAATCAAAGAAATTTTACCCGACCTCCCCCACAACTTGGATCCGCTGGTATTAAAGATAGTGACACTACAGGGAATTAATAAGAGAAACCGGAGAGAACGAGGGACGGATCGTCCAGAATTTCACTATGATCCCATGATGGTTGACTCATCCCTCCAAACCCCCTCTCTGCGGCTTTTGTTTGTGTTTTGGATTTGCTTGTTTGTTGTACTCAACAGAAAACAATTCGGATCACAAATCCTAACCCTTACCCTAACCTTAACCCTATACATATAGGTAGACAACTTAACAAACGAGCGTCAAGGATTTCTCAATTCCCCCTGATCGCAATTTAGCATTTGTCCTTTGAAAGTCATTTTGCAAGCAGATGTTCAGTCACGTCACCAAAAAACTGAAGGGTAAATGCAATACGGTTTTTTCTGGGAATACTTGACGCCTTGTGTCACCAGTGATAAAAGGAGAAGAGGGAATATGATGGACACATATAGTGGAGGTGACAGCTTCTGTCCTTTCACAATACGATTAGCTCATCAAGAGAAAACCCTCAACTGCTCAGTCATTTTTTTGGATATTCGTTCACCCGGTTGCGACAGCGCGGTAGTTTCTCAAAAAAAAACGCTTTGCTTCGAATTAGTCGAAAATCATCTATAATTCAGCAACATGATATTTAATTCAAATAACTTCCCGTAAATTCAGGCAACGGAACACTTTTGGTTCCCTTTTTTACGATAAAGAGTCACGTCGCAGCTTTTCTCGTCACTTTGTGTTCTTTCATCAACGATGCGAAAACTACGGCAACAATCTCCGAAGATTTACGAAAGCAAGCCGTAAACTACCCCGAAGTTATGCGAATATTTCCGAGGTATCTTCAAAGGTTTCTGAAGATTTCAGTCTTGCTAGTAAATGAGCCTTTCAGGCACCAAAAGTGATGCTTGTTATAATTTTTTTTAAAGGAAGGTATATAATACATTATATAAGTATGACGTCAAAATATACCAAACAGTATTGAAGTTTCAAGCTTTGTTTTATTATTTACAATTTGCTTTAGCTACTTACGGACAAATGTTCATTTAAATGTTCAGAATCTCCTACACAAGTGACTTACAATCGGTGGCTCGTAAGCAGTGAGAAAGGCGATCTCCTTTATAAGCTGAGAGTTTAATTCTGAAATAAAAGGAAAAAAAAAATAAAAAATTTCTAATGCACAGCTGTCTAAGAGGCAGTATCGATAATTAGTCGAGATACTCAAGAAATACAAAGTCTTTCTTCAACAATATTGCTAAATTTTTTTGGGGGCGTTCATTGAATGAAGAAGACAATATGCAAAAAGCCAAAAAGCGAAAAGAAATAAAAAGCCAAAAAGAGATTATTTAGCATAAAAATTCGTTACCTGGGACCTTGCAAGTTGTAAAACATATGCATTAAAATGTGAGTTGAGTTCATTGGGAAAAAAAAAAAAAAAAAAGTACAGTGTGCGTTTCTTCTCCTAGCCTTTTAATTTCGAGTGGAGAATAAAAAATGTTCCACTTTTTCTTCTACTAAGCAATTTTACCTTTTGTTAGAATTCCTCTCTCCTTGTAAAACTGAAGACAAGACTCAAGTTCTTCTCTAGAGTAACGGGGAACCTCGATGTTAATGGAATCCAGGACTGCTGTTAAACCTCTCTATGTTGGATAGAAGAATACATGATGTCTTCGATAAATATTTAGAATATCTGAATTATTATTAATAATCATCGGATAAGTCGAGAATTTTCAAGGCTGTGGTATATGTTATATCTCAAAATAATGTCAAAAGTGTATGGCGTAATTACTCGATGCGCCGCTCTCGATGACGTGCCGCATGTGAGAGCAAAAATATTAATATTCGCCGCCCCCGAATAAGCACCACATCTAAAAAAAAAAAGCTCAAAGGCGTCTATTAGGGAGCACCCTGATTGCAAAGTGCGATATTCCCTATGCGCAAGGATCAATTTTTTTTTCTTTATGTTGATAGGAACAACATCTGTTATAATTTTGCAACGATTATCTAATGCTCAGGTACACGTTTGGTCCCATCAATTGAAAAGCAGCGAGACGCATGCCCAACGTTTGACCGCTGTGTTTCCTTAGGCCCGCTGTTTTTCCTTAGGCCATTTCCGAATTACCTCTGGCCCTTTTTTTCAAAACTAGGCCTGGTGCTCAACCATTCGTATGAAAGTGAGTTAAATTTGCATGTGAATGAAAACACTCGACTTTGAAACAGAAGCCGAAGGTAGTTCGGAAATGACCTACGAAAACACAGCGGGCCCGTGGAAATACAACGGTCAATAATGGTGCAATGGGTTGATCATAAACCCTCTAACTCCCATGAGTGACCAAGACGGAATTTCTCCTTACAATATCAATACAATATCAACTAGATAAGTGACGAGAATAAAGAAAAATATCAGTCTGGGGTTAATAGTTGATCCAATACTAAATTCTCTGAACTAACATTAAAAGAACTTTATAGCAGACAGTAAGGAGAATTACTGATGAGATCTTGGGAGTTAAAGAGTCAAAGGTGTGTCTCCTTCTCACCTGTCCAATGAGGTCTGGTATCTCATAAGACTTGATGTCACTTCTCAACATTCCTGTGCGTGATAACGCGAACACCATAGCTCCATTTTTCTGAAGGAAAAAAAAAATGAACAAAAATATTTATGTTCTGTTCATTGATACTTTTTGAGTGTGTTCTTACTTACATGCTACCACAAGCGTTACACCGTTCGTCAGATTGTTAAATTTTACTACATACAATTTCGTTTCTCTTCGGCGAAAAAATAAAAAAGCTATCGACGATCGTCTGCCCAAGGGAGTTGTCCCATACGCATTTGGCGAAACTGTTCGTTAGTCGATGGGTGACCGTCTTAAGTTTGTACACCAAATGCGTGGTCGCATGGCTGCACAAATTTGGATTTGATGAAACCAGCGTTCTGCGCGTGAGCAAATGGCAAAATCACTGACAAAAAATGCAGATTCCATTTCTTATTGCTTACCAGTCCTTCAGTGGGATGAAGGAGTTCTGTAAAGTGATGTACCAAACTCAGCCTCTTGGGTTTTATCTAGCACAAAAAAAGGGAAAATAAATTTAAAGATAATCTTCCACGAACTCCTTCCCGTTAAGGGAGACCTTAAAAAGCACTGGGACTATATAAATGCAGTCAAACAGATGACATCGATGAACATCGAGGAGTAGAGCAAATCAAACTTAACGTGGGCAAATTTTCAGCAGTTACTTTTGTCTCCGCCCAAAGAGGAGAAATTTTCTTTCTTTCATAGTGGGCAAGGATCAATTTCGGTGTAAGTTCACCAGTATTGTGAAAATTTGTCGAAATTTACCCAAACCACCTAATACTCAGTAAAAGGCGGAAAATAACGACCACAAGGAATCATCATCAAAGCGCAGAGGGCAAGAGATTACTGCACAGTGCTTCTGTTTAGTCAGTGAAGGGTTGGGCTTGATGTTCTGAGATCTCCATGTTTCTAGCTGTTACTCGACGAAGTATCCAAGGATTAGACAGAGTTCACACCACATCTGTACTTATCTGTTAACCCTTTAACCCCTAAGAGTGACTAGCATCTAATTTCTCCTTACAATATCACCACTGAATCACATATTAATGTCATGAGGATAAAGGAAATGATCACCCACTAAAGGAACTCTTGATTGTTAGACAAATTCTCCTTGTCAGCGCATTAGTAAATGTACAGAGAACAGTATGGAGAATATAAATATTGATGTTAGGGTGTAAAGGGTTAAACTGCCTTACCCATTTTTGTTTGACATCCTTGAGGGTGGTTTTTAAGAAAAATCCATTGAACTCGTTCACAGCAAATAGCACTCGCAAACTGAAAGGGGAAGAAGAAAATGTCGATTCTACAAGCTTTTTCTTTCCCGCGTTATATTGGTATCATATGACACATGAGAGAACAAACTTCGTGACCTATTCATCGACTCTAGCGTGTTATCTCCGAGGTACATGTACACTAGCTTACAGTAGACGAGGCGTAAAAATTAGTCAACACACCAACCTGGGGTTACTCCTTATTTCTTTCAGTAATATGCCTACAGCATCAGAGGTAAAATTTGCTCTCCTAAGACCCTGAGATGT